TTTTTAGATGGCGAGGTATATATTAGTTTTAACAACGGTCAATTACTTGTTGGAAAGTTGGTAGAAAATAATACATAGTAAGTGTTCCATTGAACGTACGGTCTGCATGGTTAGAATTTATATATTATAAATTTCATCGTTAGCTATTATTAAGCGGTATGCACCCCAATTATCCACTAAATACATTTAAATCACGTGTAAACTGTTCTTTTACTGCAATTTCCACATACTTGACTTTCATTTATGACTCCTGTAATTAAAGTTTAAAGCATTTGCTTTGTTTCTGAAACCGTTGTAGGCCTTATTCTTTAGAGGCGGAGTTAGATAGCAATCGTTTTGTATGGCTTGGAGTGGTGTGAGTAAACCTGTTTGTGCATTTACTGTTAACTAAAACAAAGAACACCACCGAGATACCTGCAACATATAAGGTCTATTTCAAAGAGTGTCAAGTGGCCTTTTACTTTCACTTACATTATATTATAAAATGAGGGGCTCTTAAAGTTTATTTATGGATCGGATTACAAAGTGACCAAGTTATGAACACAAAACACATTACACCGTTATATTGTGTATTTTAAAAGTTAGCCCAATTTTTCCCTTCAATAAATAATACACAGCGAATAAAATGCACGAACCAATCAGGAATCAATAATATGTATGCCCCGCCCACATTGACCAAATAAAGCACTACGATTATAGTTAGTATTGAGGAGGGCGGGGCTACACTTTTTGGCACTATACGCACAGCATAGTCGATCGTATAGGCTTGCTACAGAAATGAGGGCCTTTACACGTCACTTTCTTAAAAGGCATGCATAAGAAGAATTTGCTTAGCATTTTTTGAAGCAATAAAATTATTCAATATCTTAACCCGTGGCGGATAACAGCTATATGATGGAGTTTAAGCCCAGTGCAGTACATACTATACAATTTGAGAATACAGAGGAACTATCTATGCACACTTTAACATTTTTGGTCCGGCAATACTTCAGGGGAATTCCGTTTCTAGCGTTTCTGATTCGAAATTTGCCGTTTCATTTCTGAAGTTGCACCCTCTCATGCATAATCCCTAAATCAGCACTTTAACATGATTCTCATTCAGGGGATAGTGTACGTGACGAAGAGGTTCCAGTTGATGGTTAATCTTCTCAGTGTTTAACGAATTTCGTCAAATTATTTGAAGAAAAAAAAGTATAAAATCACCTTCATATCTCATTTTTTTCCCAAAGATACCATCCTTCCTTGAAAGTGCAGCCTCATTATGTATGAGGATAAATACCATATGTGTACCAATTTACTCGGAGTAATTTCACAGGGTATGCCTATACAGGGTGAGTCAATAAAAGCGAAACCCAAATGTCGGGACCATTGTTTTAGTGACGTCCTGCATGTAGCCCTTTCAAAGTCTAGAATACAAAAGCCTAATTCATAGGTTTTCGTTTAGTACTGCAATCATTAAAATCACTCATGTACTTTTCAAGTGACGGAATTTTAAACACAACCACCATTTTAAAGTTCTGTCCTCGGATCACAAGAAGGTAAGTGTTCTTTCAGCAAAACGAAAACAAATCACGTAGGGTTTTGCTGAAAGAACGCACACTTTTTTGTGATCCGTGGACAGAACTTTAAAACGGTGGTTGTGATTAAAATTCCGTAACTTGAAAAGTACATGAATTGGGCTTTCAAAGTATCCTAGATTTCAAAGTGCTACTTGCAAAACTTCACTAAAACAATAGTCCCGACATTTGGGTTTCGCTTTTTTTGACTCACCCTGTATAGCGCTTGTCTTGTCTTCACATTGAGCAAGTGTTTCCCCAATCAGTGGGTTCATTTCAGGGTAGGGAATTTCATTAGAAAATCCATGGAACTATACAACCCGTATAATTAAACGTGAGCGCAGGATCGGAGGCGAAAAGGGGATACTATCGTCGCATGGAGGCGCTCTGAAATACTGACCATATCAAGGCGAACGTCCTTTTTAGAAGATCTTTGATTTTGTGTGGGCAGCGTCGTCGTTAAGCAGCTCATTTCGTAAAATCCAACATTTTGAAGCAACTGAATGCATCTATTTCAGAGTCAAGGGAATCCGTTGCTTGACGGGAGATTGCTATAAAGAGGACTGTCAACCTTTTAGCCGAAATGTAAAAGCTTTGACCGAAGCCAAAATTCACGGAAAGAGAATTATGCATCTGAATCAAATCTCTCCTCTTAAGTACATAATATTATCCCTTGGATGAAAGACTGTTATCTAAGACAATATCTCTCATTCCGATTTGATTGATTTATTAACCGAGTTTCAGAAGCAGAGATAAATGCACTTCGGTTGAAAGTTCCCAGTTTACAGTGGGTGGTTTACAGAAACACAGTAGAAAGATCATCATCTGACTTGAGTGGTTGTGATGTACATGTACACTGAGAAGATTATGTGTATTAGTAAAAACTTGACAGGAATATGATTTTCAGGACAAAGTGATCACTGAGTTTTGTAGCAAAATTCCCGCAAAGGAGAACCATCTTGAAGCTCAAACTTTCAGCGCGCTGGCGTTATTGCATACAGTTTGCATATTAATGATGACCACAAGTTGAGCATGCGCATAATGCAGCCAACAAGAGGCAATGCGTGACGCCCTAACTCCCTAGGGGTGTGCAAAATCGTATTAAAATTGCTTCTCCAATGGTTCACAAATAAATGTGTGACGAAAAAGCCAAACATTTTGATTGAGCAACTATGTGAAATGTGTACAAGTTAGCCACCACAATCTTGTAAATAGGGGGTAAGACCCTGATGCTAAACTTACAAATCTATCTAAGTGTACATAAACGAACTGACTGGAGATGGGTTTGAACCTGCGACCTCCGGATTGCCGTTCCGGTGCTCTACCAACTGAGCCATCCACCCCTATGTTTGTGGTTTTGTTGAAAGGGCGCTAGTCAAAAGCCATAAGCCCATACAATTCTATGTAGCCAGGGATCACACACGAAGTCACAAAGCTACAGGGTGAGTCCAAAAAAACCCCAAACCCCCCAAATTATTTTTCATATTTGAAAAAAATGTAGCACCAAAAATAATAGTGACTGAAAAACCAATTTCCGAATTGAATTGCTCAATCCATTCAAAGAATATCACCATTAAACACAATGAACTTTAAACCTGTCTCGTCCAAAAGTGCGATTTCAAGAATCATCGCCGGCCACATTGGTCTAAAAAATCACCAGCGATAAAACCTCGGTCTAAAAGTTAAAAATATTCAACAAAGTCCTTTTGAAGGCCCGTCTTTTAAAAAAAGTGGATTTTATTAACTATATTGTTTGCCTAACCAGAGTTGTTAATAAAGACATTGTGTACTACAGTTGTCGACAGTTGATGCAACAAGTATTCTGTCATTTTCTTTGTTGTTCCAAACAGTAAAAACACACAATAAATTGCTTTTTTTTGGGGGGGGGGGATGAAACAGGTTTTAGGGTCATTGCGTTTAAATGGCGATATTCTTTCAACGGATCGAGAAATTCCATTCATTTTTTTTCATCTAAAAGTAGCTTTTGAAATTGGCTTTCCAGTTATTATTATTTTTGGTGATACATATTTTTGTAATATGAAATATATTATTTGGGGTTTGGGTTCCGCTTTTTTTGACAAACCCTGTAGCAATATTAGCAATGCTGCAAACCTAGGAAAATACCAAAAGTAAAGAATTTTACTCCATCCATTCTATCTTGTCTGGTGCAAAAGATTTATACAAAAGGGAAGTCACACAGCTGATGCTTCTAGTTCAAACTGGCTCAGTCCGGTTCAAGCCAGTGTTATCTGGTAGGACTGTTCAAACTGGCTACAGCTTTACTCTTAATAAAAGTGCTGCTCCAATCTGATTGGAACAACTCTATTCGGATTTTATCCAGCCTGTTCTTGTTCAATCTGGTTCTATCTGGTTCGGTGCTGTTTCAATTCCATTGAAACTGACACATTCTTGTTATACTTGATTCAATGCAAGCCTTGTTATGTACAATATGGTGCCATCTGGTTCGGTCTATAATTCACTGCTGTTTCAATCAGATTGAAACAGTTTTAAACTGTTCCAAACAGGCTTATTTTAGTTCTGGTTCAAACTACAGGGTGAGTCAAAAAAGCGGAACCCAAACACAAAGAAATATATTTCATATTAAAAAAATTATCTAGCACCAAAAATAATTATGCCTGGTCAGCCAATTTAATAAACTACTTTTAGATAAAAAATTACTTCAATTGCTAAATTCGTTCAAATTATATCACCATTTAAATGAAACGACCCTCTGTTTTGTCCAAAAATTAGATTTCAAGAATTGTTGTTACAATTGTCTTGAAACATCACCAGCGATGAAACCTCAGTTTAAAAGTTGAAAATATTCAACAAAGTCCTTTTGAAGGCCCGTCTTAAAAACAAAGGTGGATTTTATAAATATATCGTTAGGCAAAGCAGGGTTGTTAATAAAGATATTGTATACTACAACTGTTTAAACAAGTATTCTGTGTCATTTTGTTTGTTGTTCCAAACAGTCAGAACTCAGAACACATAATAAATTGCTTTTTTGGACAAAACTGATTTTAGGGTCTCTTCGTTTAAATGACGATATAATTTGAACGGATTGAGCAATTGAATTTTGTTTTCCATCTAAAAGTAGTTTATGAAATTGGCTTTCCAGTCGTTATTATTTTTGGTGCTATATATCTTTTTAAATATGAAATATATTTGTTTGGCTTTGGGTTCCGCTTTTTTGGACTCGCTCTGTCAGGTTCTGTGTAAGGATGTGACGTTTACACTTTTAAATGTTTTAACGATATTAATTCTAAATCTGTTTACAAATTTTCCAAAAACATTGAAATGAAACCCACATTATAAAAAGTGACACACGTTTACGCTATCTGCCTTTGAAGTAATACATGCATTTCACAAAACAATAAAGGATGCCATTTAACCTATTTTATTTCCAAAGCAAAAGGAGAGCCCATTATGGAAATGTTTTCGTGTAGATCGGGGTCGATGATGCCCTTCATTTGTTGTGCACCTACCTGTATATTCATGTACACTAACATGCTCGATGGCGGCAGCCTTTGTGAAGTGGCTAAACGTTTAAACATTGCTTAACAGATTTGCTACACATTTTTACAAAATTAAACGTAAAGTCCCATCCTTAGTTCAGTGCTGAATCAGTCTGACTGAGACGCGTCTGTTTATTTTAATAAACTTGTATAAGTCTGGGATCTGGTTCAATCTGGTTCCTTCTAGTTAAGTCTGGTTGCATCCAGCCTGCCTCATCAACTACCAGGTGTCTGGTTGTTATCTGGTTCAATCTGGTTCCTTCTAGTTCAATCTGGTTGCATCCAGTCTGCCTCGTCATCTACCAGGTGTCTGGTTCTTCAAATAACTTCTTGCTCTCATCACCCTCTTTGGCACTTCCTGCAAAAGTGAAACACAAACAAAGGGAATTTTCCTTTTGATTTAATTGAATTGATACATGTAAGCAGAAGTTCATTTCTGTTAAGCATTGATCTAACAGTTCTCTCTTGATGCAAAAATAACATTGAAACGTTTAGAAATATTCTGGCGAGCATTATTTCATTTCTTATCCATCAACAGCATGTACATGATCAACATTTAACCCATTAAGACCTCATTTTTTGAAGGGTATTAACTGGGAATAGTCCAGCCAAAAGCATTCAGAGTTTTTCCCCAAATAATAGCCATGATATCCACAGGGAAACAAAAACTTGTGCTTCCAAAAATGTAACATTGAAACTTCATTGCCTTCTGTCAAGTGATGCCCACTGTAATACAATGCTTAAAATATGTGACCGGCTCTACAAAAAAGGGTATTAAGTCGCGCTGAGCATTATTGTGTAATGGCCCGCTCAATGTTGAGAGGGTGAAAATTTCGTCAAAATGTAACTTAAATTTTATGTCATGAATGACGTCTTTAATGCGTACAGTTTCAGGTTTCTTTCACAGAAATGTTGATTTTGATGAACAAAGTGGAAAAACAACCATTTTGTGTGCATCATTCTAATGTTCTACAACAAAGCCAGCTATTTCAAAGCCTGTTTTCTCAGTTGTGCAATTTGAACTCCAAGGAAGTAAATAATGTGCGAATACGTCATATCTCCAGAACGGGAGGGGCTAGAGCTGTGCTATATACCAAATGGAAAATTCCTCGGGAACTGGGTCTTTTGTTCAAAACGGTCCTCTATGCTAGGTTTGTGTGCTTATTCTATGGGAGAGGGTTATATTACAGAGACAAAGGAAAACACAAAGCATTGTCCTCGGGAGTATAGTAAAACACGACTGCGTGTTCATGCATGTACTGCATGAATTACACAGGATTAAGTTTATTCCAAATCTTCACAAACCCATAGTGTCTATTGTTCAGCTTAAGGTGTTATCAGCAATGTATTCCACTGTCCCTCCCAGTGGGCTCCCCAACTCTCCCTTTTGGTACTCTTGAGGGGGTACTTGTGCAAGGAGTCTATACCCTTTTTACCTTTTATTTCACTTGTAGTGCTGCTGTCTGCCTCATCTTTAGGTGCATCTGTCTGCAGGTTATCCTGAGGGTCCTTGTCAGGAACATCTGTGTGGGGTGGCTGTTGGTTATCTGGTGAAGTGCTGTCAACGGGAGAAACGCTTCTTCGTGAAACAAAAACTGGAGCGCTACAAAAAGAAAATCAACAAATATACTTTTTACTGACTTTTCATTGACTTTTTAGTGGGGGGAAATAAATTTTGGAGCAGGCGATTGGAATCAGGGACTAATATTTTTTTAATGACGTTGTAATTAAAGTAGCGGAAATATTACACTTATATGTATCTCAATTTTTGTTTATGGATGAGACATATAAATGCTTATGCATGTAGAAGACTGTCATGACTACATGACTGTCTAAAAAAGTCTTCCCCTGAATTTAATGTGCTCTTTGCTTTGTGACTGCTGCTTACTTTGAAACGGACGAACATTCGGTTAGGAAAAAAAAAGTCATTTTCAGCAGCTCCTTTACATTGCAAACACAAGTAACTTTCTTGGCGCTGCTAAGCCAGGCATACAGCAGGAAAGTAGCCAAAACATTAGGACTTCCTAAGCTTGTCAAGACTGTATACAGTGCTTTTCAATTTTTAATGGCATAGGTGTGAAGTGAAAAACGAAATCAGCTGATCCGAGGTAAAGTTGCATGCTTGTATGCAAAGAGATATGCTAAGCAGAGGAAATATTGGCTCAGGGTTCCTGCAACTTTAGGAGAACAAAATTCCATTAATTTTCCTCGACCAAATTATGAAAATCCAGGACTTAGTTCATCAAAATGCAGATTAAAACTGTAAAACTAGTTCTGTGAAAAGTGCTTAACAGAAACAGAAAAACTACAAAACAAAGTAATTTAATGTCTTTCGGAACCAAAATGCTGGAATTAATTACCGAAATTTGTTTCTTTCTTGTATTACTGAAATTTAAAAATCTGATTTCCGATGCTAAATTTTGAATATACAATGTTTAAATATTACAATAAAGTGGTCCTCGCACAATATTCCATGATCATTCTATGACTTTTGTAATTTTTACAAATTTCCATGACTTTTTCAGGGCTGGAAATTGAAAATAAAATTGAATGACTTTTCCATTTTTTTTCCAGGCCTCGGGAAACCCGTTAGCTAAGCTAAAACAGCTTGCCTGGCCAAGTACACTGTATATTGCTCAGTTGTGAGTGGTTCTCATCAGTTGATTTTTGCTTAGTATTTTGCTTAGAGGTTATTTTCTTCTTTTCATCAGTGCCTGAAATTGGGACCACGTATTCCTACTTACTTGGGATCCATTGGTTTGCGTTTCTTTCCTCCAACAGCAGTCAGTTCTGCGACCTCGGCATCTTCACCTCTGACCTCGGACGCATCATGAGGTCGCTTCAAGCTCCGGGGAACACGGAATGGTGATTTTGTTGCCGTGGTCTTGCTGATAGCGTGGTCGCCCAGTGTGCTGGGTTGCGCCACGTCCATGGGCTGCTCCGGTGTTGCATTGTTTAATGCCCTCCGGTATTCTTTGTATGTCTTCAGAGTGTACTCTGGTGCCCGTTCAATTGTCTTCATAACTGTAACAATGCAATAAAAAAATTAAAAATGCATCAAAGATGTCAGAGTCTTTATTCATCAAAGCCAAACTACATACTTTGATTTACTCTCGATTCGAACCACATTTAGTTTAATGTCAATTTACTGAAGATTGTGTGCATGTATTACAGATCTTGGATCTACTTTCAGCAACACATGATAGCTTTAGTGGAAGGTTTTTAATTTTATCATACATGTACAACTTAAGGAGTCAGCTTTTAAAAGATATTATAAATGTACCAATATAGACTAATCCAGTGAACAAAATGAGAAGCCATATTTGAGGTAGCTCCACGTTCGCACTCATTCCATGTTCATAAAGACAAGACGCGAGTGTTCCTTGGTAACACTATTGGTCAAAGGAGCCCGGAGTGCGTGCTTACTACTTGAGCCTTTAACAATTGTCTTCCATAAGGGTTCATATGATCATTTACTTTTTTCGCATTTTTTTCATTTGAATCAACAAAATTTCTCACAATCTTAAAAATGTGCATAATTCTTACAGTTCAGAGGCTACTGTACATTACATTGTATTAGAAACAGAAAACATATGCATGCACAATTTTTGTCTCATAACTGGATTCCTTTGCTAACACATGTAAAAAAGTGTGCACGTTTTCTTAGACGACCCTCAATTTTGTTTTTCTTTCGAATGATATCATTTCAGGCGGAATAATTTCACAGGGTATTTGGTACCAGCCCCTCCCCCCCCCCCCCCCCGACAACCCAAGAAATAATAATAACGGTAATAATGTCCGCCTGTGCACAAAATACGGACAGAGCCAGCTTGTTAGGGAGTATATGTACACTATTCTGTAATACAGTGTTAATAATCGTCGAATTTGAACTGCGCCCTTATTAAAGTATGGGTGCGAGACCCCCCGCCCCCCCCCCCCCCCTTTGATTTTCGGAGGCCAAGTGTCTGGAGAAGAAAACCTGCGTATATTTCAGACTTTTTTGCTGATGACCCCCCCCCCCCCCGCCCGCAAAAATTCCTTGATCCGCCCCTGCAGTCCTATCTTCACTTTGAGCAAGGTTTCTGTCATTAAATCAGTTGTACGATTCCGGGTAATTCAAATTTACATTTGTATGTTCCTACGTTACTTTAAGGAAAAGCAAAGAGCCGGCACTGAGAAAAGTGTGGCCATCATAAAAGGGTTAGCCTAAGTTGGAAGTCCCCCTGATTCCCAGTCAAAGAAAAACTAATCTACCTTTTGTAACAAGACCCGATAATAATGCACGATATCTTGGTACAAACAGGCTGACTAATGCTCGACTTATCCTTTCCATTTCTCGGAAGTGGGCGGCGAGATTTGGGTCTCTGCCAAAACGTTTCCATCATGAAGTGTTCGCATGCGGGGCTACCCAGCGGGAAAACCCAATCAAGAAGTCGGATCACTGAGACTATTTTTAGCACGCATCTGTTGTCGTTGATGTTAAATTACACATGTGATTCCCTTGAATTAATAAGTAGTGAAATCTAATTAAAGACATAAACATGAAGGATCATTTTCATTCGTCCAAAAGTATTAACCTACCAAATTATTATCAAAAAGCTTACTTGGATTAATAATCATATTTGTACTAAGCACCCTGTGACATTATTCCATCTGACTTGCTGTCACTTAGAAGAAATCAAGAAATGTAGGTGATTTCAAATGATCAGCCAATTGATGCTTGGAATAAACAGTTCTATTGACGAAGTCGTGTTTCATCTTCAAAAGGTTGTGCATGGTTTTTAACTGTTTTCTCAAAAGTGAAATATCCACTGCGATGAACCTCTGTTTTACATTTACAGATTACTGAGCGAATGTTTAAGCAAGTTATCGTAGCTGGAGCTGGAGTAAACTGCAAAGATCAAAGGTCAAGGTGTACAAAAAGGCAACAAAGAATAGCCTGGGCAAGGGGAGTATGTTTCTTACCATTAGCTGGAAGATATATAAAGTTGTGGAATAGGGCTCTTCATTTGCAAATAATTTAGAATTTGATTATTCTAAGTTGGACTTATCGAATACTCGAAATGCACCAATCAAATTTAACGATTGGGTATTGGGATTTGCGTGTGCCTGCGATTGTTGGAAATTGACAAACAGGGTTATGAGAAAAAAATTAATGAGGTAGCTGATCAAGGCTGATATTTTTTCGACAAATTATAAAGATGAAATTTGAGCTAATACTCCTCATGGAAGCCCTCAAACCATGAGCGAAAGTGGCTTTCAACAAAAGTGTGGCATTGGACAAACAATAAAACCACCCAACTTGTACAATTAAAGAACATTTTGGATGTTTTCCATCCTCTCCTTGAGACCCCTCATATTTTTCGTATACATGTAACTGAATCAGAAAAAAAAAGAATAAAAAAAGCTATTAGGATATTTGGCTGATGACCAAATATTTGAATATTCAGTTTATTTACATATTTGAATATTACAATCCTATTGAGGAAACAGTTACAGGCCTAATTACCAGGCTACGGGACACATACATGTATAACACCAGCAGTTGGAAAGTTTGGGGCGATTGTGACAAAGCTTAGAAAATAGCCAACGCATTTTTTTTTATGGAAAATGTGAAAACGTTTGGTGTCAGCTAGAATGTCAATGTGGGGCACATATCAAGTGGGGTTTTTAAAATGGGATTACATGTATTTCTATTGTTTCTCATTCTATTGTTCAGAGATACCACCAATATATCAATAAAAAGCCTGAAACACTACTAAACAACTTGAAACTACCCTTACCCCCTTTCAAAAATGTGCTTTCTGGATGTTCCAGACCAAATCCAGCACTTTTAATTTGCCAATTTTTTTGAAAAAAAACAAACAACAAAACCACCCGAATTCAGGTTAAAACCTGAAAAGTGGCATCTCTGATTGTTAAGCGCTTTAAGGAATCTGTGATTCATATTGCACTTTATAGGCCTAAATGCTGTATTATTATTTTATTATTATTATTATCAAAAGGTCATCCTCTTTAAAGACTTTTTTATGATTACAATTATCCTGTGCAATGTTGGTTTGGGGTTTATAAATCGTGACATGAAGCGACAGGTTTACAGTCTCGTAAAGTATCACAGTAAATTCCAAGGTTTGCGTGACAATAACGGACGTAAACACTTCCCCCAGACACCAACATTATTGATTCAAAGTGTTTACACAATACGCCCAGGTCCCAAGTCAATAAAAGAACCCAAATGTTTGAATCATACAAATCTGTGGACTTGGGCACCCAGCATTATCTAAATCAGGAGCTAAAAATAGAATTCCCGGAAGTACTACTTCAGCCGCCGAGTAGGGATTTTACGCTAAAAAAAGTCCCCTGCATTCCCTCCCTACATGTACATGTATGATCATGCATTGTATGCAGACAACAATGCAAAGAAAGCTTTAGGTTGCAGCGTTTTTATTAAATTTCCTTCAAAGTATTTGAATATTATACAGGCTTTCAAGTAGAACCAGGTGAAAAAGTAGACGAACAGTAGGATCAAAACTGGACAAAGGACTTTAGAGGACCAAATCAGGATAAAAGTAGGATTTTGGCTGGCTTTCAGGAGCAGTTTTCATTGATGCTCACCCATGTCCACAGCATCATAAGCCTCATTTGGCATGTTCTGTACTCACAACACTTGTGCTCCATCCTCAACTAAGCTCTTGGAAGTACAGTTGCAGTACTCCTGCGCCCAAGCCCTTCATTGTGTGATTTACATATGACAGTGTGAAACACTGTTATGCAAACTATTTTAATGAGATTTCATTTTCAGAGTTGTGGGACAAAAAAGTAGGAAAAAGTAGGAATTTCAAGAAAAAAAGTAGGAACAGTAGTATACATGTAGGAGCTAGGGGAAAAAACTGGGAAAAGTAGGAAAAGTACTGGAAAGCCTTTATTATATCTCCTTTTTTAAACCTTTTGCCAACCAGTACTGCATCAGTTCTGATTACTGTTTTTATTTTTTTTATATATACATGTACGTTCAAGTTCAATTTAGACAACTTGTGTAATAGCCTAAATGTGTGTGTGTGTGTTCAAATATACTGTATAATAAAATTGTTTGACTTTGAGAGAAGGTAATATATAAATTAAACAAATATATATTTTATAATCCTTTTTATATCAAGATGGAACGACATTGATTACTCTTTTCATTATCTGAATGTATTCCAATATTATATTAAACTAAACTAATTGAAAAAGGATCACATATATTTACTTTTGACTTAACCAGTTCACGTCGGATGACGTGTGTTCACGCAAAGGTTTTGCAGTATTTGGAACGGATGACGGTTAAACACGCAACGGGCGAGGCAGGAAATGTCTTTCTGCGACCCGCTCTCAGCGAGCGAGGCTGGAAATATCAGGGTGTGCTACCCGCAGATGATGGCCTGAACCCGTCTGACATCAAGGTTCGTCAAAAACAATCCCGCGCCATGGGTCCGGTCAATGTCAACATAATCCCGGCGCGAAGTGATTATAAAAGCTACACATGTAGCACATTGTCATCTGCACATGGGTTATTCTATAAATGTAAGGTGCAAAGTGTGAAATTTTTGCTGTCCCTGTTACCTTGATACTCTGTCATTTAACATTCGAGGATCATTAATAATGACTTCAAATGATTTTTTATTTGTTGGGTAGGTAGTTTGCTATTCATGACCACTCTCGGAGGACGACTGCATTAAGGAGTGCATCAGAATTATAAAATCAGAGATGTCAGATGTAACAGGGACATGAAAAAAAAAGTGGGCCACAAAATTCAATTATCACGACAGGATATTCTGTGTTATCTGTCAGCTTGTGAGACATGTGAAAATAAAACCATCCCATATTTACATATATTTCAATGGACAGATTGGAAAATCAAAAAAAAAAATCCACAGAGTTTTTGAGGGTCCCCTATCGCGAGGGCCCCCAAAGTAATGTAGGGTCTATGATATATGTTTGCATTTAACTAAAGGCACCCTGTTAAATACCCATATCTTCTGTTCTATCTAAATTTTTATAGATAAAAATACCATAAAACCACCTTTAAGGTAAACCCTCAGGAATTCTAGATTTCAAAAGGGAGCTTTTTTATCCTGAAATCAGGAAAAATGGGATTCTTTCAAACTTCTGAAAATGGGAAAAATCCTGAAAAAGCCTGGTAATGAGCAAAACTCCTCACTACTCTCATCTCTGTCACTTTGGTGGGACTTGAACCCCTGATATCTTCCTGCTCGTACTGCAGTCAACTCTACCACTTTTAAATAACTGACTTTGTCCAGTCAACTAGCTTATTTTTTTCAATGATTCATTCGAAGGCATTGGGCAAAGCTTTTACAAAAATAGATTAGGAATGAGCAAGTCCTTGCATAACAAGGCACGTGATATCAAAGCAGGAAGTTGTTAAAAAAAACAAAACATAAGTGACTCCAGACAATTCCTAAGAATTTGTCTATGACTGTGATTGAAGGGTTGTCGAGTGGCAACCAATGTATGATACAATTTAAATAGCTAAATATTGGATGTGCATATAGCCGGTTCATCCAAACAGCCAGGGGACTGAGGGAACTGGGTTGGGGGGCCCTGAGGGAGGGGGGGGGGGGGGGGGGGGGGGCCTGGGGGGGGGGCCCTGAGGGAGCCGGGGGGGGGGGGGGGCCTGAGGGAGCCGGGGGGGGGGGGGGGGCCTGAGGGAGCCGGGGGGGGGGGGCCTGAGGGAGCCTTGGGGGGGCCCTGAGGGAGCCGGGGGGGGGGGGGGGGGAGCCTGAGGGAGCCTGGAGGGGGGGCGGGGGCCCTGAGGGAGCCTGAGGGAGCCAATGCCAATTTTACCCCCATCCCCAATTTAGACCAATTAAGCTGTTTGGGGCCTTGCCTCCTTTCCAAAAACTCCCCTAAATATGTTACTTTTTTTGTAAATAATGAAACAAGATCACCAGAATTGAAAACGCCTGTTTCTGAATCGATGCTGTAGAGAACTCATCTCTTTCTCTCAACGAGTTTTTGGGCAGAATAAAAGAGAAAAAAAAACAGGACAAAAGTGGGCACCGATGTGTTAAATGAGATTCAGTCTCCCATATTGTCAATGGATTGTACCTAGTCAGTTTCCTTGTGGTTTCTTTGAAAATAACCAGTTACCGACAATAATAACGTGAAATAAACAAATAGTATTGAAGAGAAATGGCCTGACGTTTAAACGCTGCAGAATCCTTCTCAAATACAAACTCAACTAAGCAATCATCTGATTGGTCGATACTTACCCTCAGACGCTTCTTCCCTATTGGTCAGACACACAAAGGCTGATGATTGGTCGATCCAGTTGACAAACACCTGTCCAAAGGTACTGAAGAGGTGCTGGATGTCATGTGATCTCCACTCGGCTGGGAAAGTCAGATGAAACACGTGGTCTCTGGGTGGAATCACTGTGGTATTAAATTAAAGAAAAACTCACAGTTATTTTTTATAGAATGGACACGTGGCCATTGTAGACCAATGAAATTACAGTTCCAAAGACAAGATATATGTACAGGGTGTGTCTCTGCAAGAAGCAGAGGCCAAGTTCGCGCAAGGACTATAGTTGACCAATGGTTAACTAACGTTTGCCCGAATTCTGTCTAGTCGACGGTGGTTGACTACGCTAGTCGACTATTTGGAACCAGCCTACTGGGGTTGGTTGCTTCGCTGGTAACCAATAGCCTCGCGCATTCATAACGCTAGCAGAGAGCCAGGATCCAGAAGTTTTACAATGACATTTTGACCAGCGTTTGACTAGAGACGTTTGCATGTTGCTATTAGTGCGCAGGCGTAAGGTACGTCACAAATCAACCACTAGTCGACTAATGGTCCTTGCCCGAACTTGGCCAGAGATGAAACTGGCCTGGGCAAAAAAGTCTGACATTGGACCTTGGGTCCGAGCTGACACAGCGTCGCGCAGTGCAGTGCAGCGCATCAATGTGGGACCCAGTGAATTTTGTCCATGTCATAGGTCAGTATTTAACATTTCTCAAGCCAAACAAGGATCTGATCAGCGTTGGCCTAGGTGTGTTTTTTTACCATAGAATCACTCCATTCACGACTGGTAAAAGAGATTAAACTACTGCACTTGTGAAAATGTTTACATGCCATTTTCATTGATTTTTCGTGGACTTTTTTTTGAACTAATAATGGGAAAAAAAACAGTTTGTGAAAAAATCATTAAATAATCATTTTTGTGGGACTGGGGATTGTTAAAAAATCTGAAATTTCAGTGGAAAAGTAGAATAACATCTGATTACGACTAAAATCAAAAAAAGTTTCATCTCTGAAGCAGATATCCTTTAATTTCTCAAAAACTACTTAACATGAATATTTCATCTCGATGGAGCATATTAATTATACTCCTGTGTACATTCAGTAAAAATGCCATGGAAATCCGTTCATGCAAAGCAATGCAAAGGATATCTGCTTGCACAACTTTGATATACACCTTGTATATCAAAATTGCTTCTGGACTAGTTCAATACAGGAAAAATAGCCCATTGATGACTTATGTATAATTGATTCACATCCACTTTTTGTTCCCCTTGCGTTTTATACAGAAAATAAAAGCAATGTTGAGAGATGTATATTGATTCTTACAATCTGGTCCACTCAGGTTCAAGTAAGGCAGATCTTGGACTCGGAACAGACACATTCTGCAAGAGAAAAAAAGAAAAAAAAAAAACAGATTGAATTTTTAAATCTAAAACAAAACGTCAATAATTATCAATGTTGACTTAAACTAGCTGTATGTATTATGATAATGCATATAGCTAGTTTTATTCAACATTCATGACATTCATAAATACCTAAGACAGTTTACCCATTCCTGTTTGGACGAGAGCCAGTCACGTGGGTGGTTTTACACCACTGATAAAACACCGGCTGGTTTTTAACACTTTACTCCTGCACCGCTGCATTCTGCGCCACATCGCACAAGTACGTGCTGCGCACCAATCTCCATAAAAGGACATTTTGAGCACTACACGTGCGAGGCACATACCACAAACTGATAAAACACCGGCTGGTTTTAAACACTTTATTCCTGCACCGCTGCATTCTGCGCCACATCGCACAAGTACGTGCTGCGCACCAATCTCCATAAAAGGACATTTTGAGCACTACACGCGCGAGGCACGTACCATAGACATGGCCAGAGGGGTGTCTCACAAAACATAGGGTCAAGAATGTTGAACCAAAAATCATTGGAAAATTGTGAATTTTTGACTTGTTTTGACTTTTTGCCAAAAAGGTATTTATGGATGGGAATAAATATGTGCTTGGCGGGTATTAAACAAGTACGTTTATAACCGGCTAGGACACTGGTCGTGGCTCGGGCCATTGTCCACGTTCCACTAGCTGGTTTACACGTACGTGTTTGAAATCGGCCAAGCACATATTTATTCCCATATTTTAGCATCTGCAGGATCTGTAACACTTAAAAAATTAATTGAATTTTACGACACAATATATGGGAAAGTGAGAAGATCATTTTCTATGAAAAAAAATAGGATCTGCAAGATCTGCAAGGATCTACTAAGGCAATTCTTTCAGGGATTCAATTCGTTCAGGAATTAACATGGACAGCACTCACTTGTTGTGGAAAGGCTCGATGAGGTTGCAGGTAGGCGAGACACGCCCCCTAGGGGGATCCAAGAAGGTGCCTAGATAGTTAGCCATGGTAGCGAAGCAAGAACCAGTGATGAATGCATCATAGCCGGCCTCGTGTGATTGGTCGTTGCTTGAACAGTACGTGGGGTAACCGGGGGCCGTCACTGCAATGAAACAAAGACAAGAGTTACAACTATGAATTCAGAGCAACAGTCCATCACAAGTTCAGCAGTCAATCACAAGTTAGATTTTGAGCACTTTTGTTGCTGCAAACGAAACAAATGCACGAATGAAAAACGATCTACTCTACCTTTACTAAAAACAAATCTGTCCAAACTATCCAACAACGCTTCCAAGGAAGGAATCAAAACAGTTCTTACCGAAGGTTGGTTTTGTGAATGGGTCGCACTTCAGTGTTTTCTCCAGCTCTGTCAAACCCGTCATGGGAATACGCTCCTAAACGATAGCAAGCAAATCAAAAATCTTGGATTAGTCCTCTGTGACCTGGTCCAACTCAGAATTGGACCGATTCAGAATCAGACCAAGTGAGAATTGAAAAAAATTCAGAATTTGAGTAAATTAATAAAAAAAAATGATAATACAAAACTACCGACTTTGCATCCAAGTAGAATTCTATTAAAAAAGGGCAAGTCTTCTTATTCTGTTTTCTACTTGACAGATAATCATTAGATCTAAATTGGGATAGTAATCCACATTGGTAGATCCAGGGAGGCCAACGGGGGCTATGCCGCCGCCCCCTCCCCCCCCCCCCCCCCAAAAAAAATTTAAATTTAAATAAATAATTTTTTTTTTTTTTTTTTAATCGGAGGATTAAAGACACCTTTTTGTCTTAAAATTTCAGGAAATAAATAAAAACGTTGCGTATCTCCCTCGCAAGCCATCAGCTACATATACCTTTTAGTTTAATATTACAATGTGGAAATAGCGCACGATACTATATACTTAATCCCCTTCCCCTTTTGGAAAAAAATACAATCTTGCCCCCCCCCAAAAAAAATAAATGAAATAAAATAAAATAGGTATCCAAGACAGAAGAGACTGTGACATATGGCTTAATTGGGATTTTTCCATTCTTGGACCAAACATGGCATCCACAGCTGGTACCCCTCACGTTGCAACCAAGGACTTCTTAAAAAAAACTAGACCTGACGAACCAATGCTTTTACAGTGTGTGTTTCTGACCACAATACACTGCGTCCTATAACCGTCATGTTATGTGAATGACCATGTGATTGTGAATAACGCATGTCATGCAGCAGTCCTCTTCCGCGTCTGATGCCCACAAATTGCGTTCAAATTTATGGTCAGAAAATTCAGACAAATTTCAGGCCTACATTTTATCCAGATGTCTCTGGTTGCAACTTTCTCTGTGTGAGGTCCTACGTCGCCCCCTACTGTTTTTGCACGTAATCCACACACAAATCAAAAATAAGCGATAATGACTAAATAAGGAGAGAGACCTACCTTAAAGGGCTGCGTTCCTGCCATGACCTTTGTGTCAATCAGTTTGGGAAAGACGCAACCCACCAACTCTTTAAACTCACTGAGATCCTAATGAAAATGAAGAGAACGAGAAGATGTGATGAGAACTTAAAAAGCAAAAAAGCATTTGGCTAGCTGGCTAGCGCTAATTTCTAACCCTTTTTAATTATGCGTAGTTGAAGGAATTTTTAATTTTCTCGCTTCAGGGTCATTATGAAGTCTTCCCTTGGGAATCCAATCTAATATGCCCTTTCACACTAACTGAAATCTCCACGTTGTACCTAGGTCAGACCTCGAGATTTTGTCAACCCTTTCTCACACAAAAAAGAACTGAAAAGGGCGTCAGTCTGGCGTTCAACAGGGGTAAACTTCAGTCCTGGTAGGGACCAGGGTTTAGAGGCTCTACCCGGTTACACTGCCGTCCCATGTGCAAACCGGTATAAGTGTAACTGGTATGCCTTGGGTACGTTCACATTGGAGACCTTGTGATGATTTTCACCCGGGTAGCTTAGACTACATAATTTGGAAGAAACCTCTAGAAATGCCAATTCCTGTTTGTATTGTAATTCCGCGTTCAATTCTTACCTCTGGCAAAGGACAGCTGAACTGTTGCAAGACGTGCATGACGTCCAGCATCATATTGTGAGCTATGACTGGCTTGCCGGTGCTGGAGATAAGGTCAATGACCTGTGAGAAGCCTGCTGCATCATCCACCTCATCCTAGGTCAAAGGTGAGGAGAGGTCAAGGATAGTAAGTGATATATTAATTTAACAGAATTTGTATTTTCTGAGAGAATACCAAAGCTCTGGGGAAAGCATCAAACAAAATGTTAAAAATTCCTGGTTTATTTAAAAACTTCATAAAAGTATATTTGATTATTTTGGTTCCAACTCACCAGTTCTGCCTGAAGCCTCTTCTGCATCATCAACTTTTTATCTTCCTCTGTTGCCTTGGTAACCTCGATGTAGCGTTCACCCTGAGATGTTTCATAATGTATAGCCACTTTAAACCTTCCTCAATTTTTTTTCTACAGTAACTCTTTATTATGTGATTTTCTGATAACTAGCAGCACTCAAAAGCTAGTGAAGGATGTTTAACTCAGTAGATACTAGTCACAACCGCGCATGCGTATTCTATGTTTGAAGAAACCAGTACAATGTTGATAGCAGTTTCAGATTTATCACACGCTTTTCAAGATGACGACTACCATAGCCAACCCATAGCACTACTAGACACAGTGCCCAATTTGGTGCTAGCATGAATTTATCATCATAGATAGCCACACTTATCCAGGTAAATAATCACTTGCCGTCTGCTTCCCAAAATGCTTTTGTTCTGCTGCTACTGCTTGATACCACTCCAATTTTTTTAAGAAGAAATAGTTATCAATTTGATAATTTAAAGTTTTGTACCTTTTCACCGGCCTTTGTTGTCAGCATCAGCCCAGATTCATGTCTGAAAGAGATCATCTTTGCAGAGTTAGCGCTGAAACGTTTTTTTTTTTTCTGATTCCTTTTTTGACACTTCAAACAGGTTTTACACCGTGCTGTTTATAACAATTTGAATTTAGATGTTTGGAATTAGATGCTTATTTTCAGATAACTCCTGAAATCTTTTCAAGTAATCTCACCTGGCTTTGACTGTCTGGAATGTCAACTTCCTCTGGAATCTAGTTGGAGACAAACAACAACAAATGGTGATAACTAACACAGATAGAGAAGGATAAAATGTGAAAGTTAGGTTCAGCTGAATTCGAAAAGTTAGAAAACCTCCGTCTGCACCTTTCTGCAAAGTTCCCAGGTGTCACCTTTTGGATTTTTGAGACTGAAGTTCGTGATTCAATTATTTTTACATGATTTGAAAAACCAGTTTCATGGAGCAATTAATGCACGAGTGAGTTTGAAATACATCTGCTTAACTTGCAAATATACCTGAAAATCATGTAAGAAAAAGGCCCTCCCCCCAAAAAAACCGCACCAAGATTGCGGGAATCCGCTATATGTTGTAGCATCTAACTTGCTTTCTCTAAACAATTTAGCAAAACAATCACTAACAAACGGTTGTTGTAGCAATTTATTGGTGTTTATGAATATTCATAGCTATTCATGAATATGTAAATTCTTCCTACCCAGTGCAAGGGTCCAGGTTGAGTGTCTGTTCCTTGTCATTCTTCACAAACTCATCAACTTGCTTACTGAAGATGACAAAAAGAGAGTATTTGGAATTGGGTTCAAATGTCAAAGTTCAAATGTCAAAGGTCATCAGTGGTGGATGTGTGTATTCATAATTCAAATGGGGTGATGTAAGCCAATCCGAGTTGCTGTTATTTTTTATGATAACTTGGGAGGTTTTCCACCATTACTGGGACGTTCCAAAGCTTGCATTGGTATTTCGTACAATTAACGCACTTGCCTCTAGTGATATTTTCAGAGCGTTACAGAATGCACCTGCAATGGGTGTTCAGGCATGTGTCCCAGTAGTGGCCGACAAAATGCAACTGCGTTTTCAATATCGGATTAGTGTGCACTACATGTGATTCATGAACAGGGTTCAAGTCTGCCACACATGGTAGTAGATGCCTGTCACCAATCCGACCTTGCATGACTATTGTGCGGAAATCAAACACCGCCCTCTATCGTCCAAGCACATATCCAATGACTACATTCATTCCTTGTGTCTTACCACACTCCTTCGACAAACTCTTTCTGTTCTGGTGGAATTTCGACGGGTTTCTTGGCAGCCGGCGATAGGAAGCCGGGGCTCGGCTGCGATGCTGACGACTCCTGCTGAAAGAAGGCGTGCTTCTCCTTGATATGCTCCTTGAGGGCGTCCTTCTCTATGCTCGTCAGGTACGGTATTCCTGGCAAGACATCCACAACAATGTGTCATCACTAGGTTTAAAATGTAGACTGCAATTGTGTGGACTCAGCTGTCAAAGGTAGAGCACATCATTTGCAGCTACCCAAAAAGTAAAGTAACTGGTGAAATTATTGTTCAAAAAATGACTTGGTTTAAATATAGTAATGGCACTAAACTTCTTGCGAAATTAGTCTTTTTGGCATGGTCTCATTTTAAAGAAAACAATAAAACAAGGCCATTTCCAAAGATGCATCAAGTGACGCATTTTTGGAGATTTTTGTCAGTAGCTGGTCTGTAATGCAGCGAATCTGTGAATGTGCAACTTTTGAAATACGACTCAGCAAGTTTTGAATTGAAACCAAAATTCTAGAATATTGTTTTCTCGGAATATTCAGCATTCACTGAGCTAAAACTTCATCAGGTTAGTTGTTAAGCACCTGTCTTTCCATTTTAAGCACTTTTGTTGCTTCAAATGAAAAAAAATTCACAAATGACAAATGATCTACCCTACATTTAAAATGCCAACCTTTCTGATGGAAACTGTGGTTCTTAGTCCCAATTCTAAAAACTGATGGTTTCTTCCTTTCTTTTTGACAGCACTTACCATCTCTGAAGACTTTGTTGAAGTCAAAACCAAACGAGGCCAGGAAATCTATGCTAGAACTCTGGGGAAATCACCAACAAATAACAACGGGTTAAATAAAAAAAAAACAATGGGTTTGAATTTTGTATCATTTTGAAGCATTCAGGTTTTTGCCACTTTATTTCTGTAGAGGAGAACAAGGATTTTCAGAGAAGTACTAAACATTGAATTTGAATAAAAAATATTTAAACCAGTTTTGAAGTTGGTTGCCTAAAACTGATAATGTCACAGGTAAGACGTTAAACATAATTTCTGAAAACAGTGTAACAAAAGATTTAACCAATAAACGCTGAAATAGAGTGAGCCTTCCTAATACAACTTGTGAAAAATTTTAAAATCCTAATGATAATAATAATAATAATAATGCATTCTTATATAGCACATAACATCAAAAGAAAATCTCAATGCGCTTTACAAAATTAATCGCATGAAAAGTCATAATAGTACATTAAAAGCTCATTAAAAATTTACGGTGGATCAGAAACATTGATTAAAACACACAACATTGGTTACATATACCTGGCACAGGAATCTGTGGTCTGGTTTCCTGGAGTTTGTCATGGGCCTTGGAAACACATAGAAGTTAAACGGATGCACAAGATACCTGAAAAAATGAAGAAATAAATAAGCATGGCAACATTCCAATAATATTACATACTGTTAAGAGCATTTGTCACCAAATCTGTGACAAAATAATTCATTTTTGTAAGTGGAGATTTTAAAATATTCTACTTTCAAATAACAATTGCAAGAGACAAATGAATTCAAACAGATATGTCAAGAATCAACAAGCAGAAATAACAATTTATTGGTAAGCAAAAACATGCAGCATTACCTCGAATTCTCTCTCTCATACTTGAAGACACACATGCCAAACTGTACCAGCAAGAAATCCATGGAACCCTGGAAGCAAAAAAGGCCAAAATTATTCGATTAAGTTTAAAAACCTTGAAAACCTGCTGAGAAATTTTGAGAAAAAAAAACCAAAAAAATCTAAAGGTCCTGGTTAAGGAAAAAAGAAATGTAAAAAGGGCACGCTTCAGCGGCATACCTCTGCTCTGAAATCAAATGGGTTGCGACAAATTGGATTTTTTTTAAACTTAAAATTGGAATAGGAATCCGTTATTTGTAGAAATGAAAATTGCTTTAGGTCGTGACAAGTCTGTTTTTCCTGCCTTCTGTGAACCTAATAACCCTCAGCAGAATAACTCACAGTCCAAAGGCAACGGATTACACCATTCTGAGGTATCATTATTAAACTATCATTATGGGGCTAGCATGGCTAGGATTCATGATTATTTTTCAATGGTCAGACCTGTCTGAGCTTATCATATCTCTCCTCAGGTGTGTCATATGAAGACGGTTTGACGTTGTGATGCAAGCCAGTAAATTCCCCGTCGATAGCAATGAACGATGCACTCTGGAGAATCTTAGGCAGCGTCTTCAAGACTTCCTTGAAGTCTGCAGAAAAAGAACAGGAAAGACAGAATAGAGAAAGACATTTGTCAGTAAGAAAAAATCAGCTACTGCTTTGTCAGAGGGGTGATGACTTGTTGCAGTGCATGCATGGCGATGCACAGAAAGATCCTCAGTCATAGGCTAATGACAGTAATATGTAATTTTAAACCAATTTTAACATGAACATGGTAGTAGGCCTAAAGGAGGTGGATATTTAGCCGTGACCGGAAATGTACTTCCTAACACTATTTTGCTGTGAGTGCACTCTGAGAACCAGTGTACTATGTCAGCCTTATTTGTGTCAATAGATGAAATCACTGCAAGACTTTAGTTCTCGGACTCTTCTTTACTTAGTATTTCTTAACATAATTGGAAATGTTTCTCAGCCCCAGATTGATGTCTTATCATCATTTTTGCAATTGAATGACCCTATTTTGAGATGATATAATATGAAGAAAAAAGTGGCGTAATTAAGGTTGCAAGAATGCAACCCTCTTTTCCATAATTAAAAGCTGTACATCATGTACATCGATCGAGGATACAACTTCAACATGTTCAAGCATGTCAAGACACGTCACTATTTTGTATTCAGTAACATTACTACATCCATAGAGCATGTAGAGCAAAGAATGCAATCACAGTCACGTCACTGCACCTCAATCCTCATCAGTCCACCACTGCACTGCAGCAGCTATAGCACTGCCACAGGCCGCAGTCAAGTGGCACGCGAGGTGTCTACATATCACTTTCCTTCACACTCTGGAGAACAATAAAGCTTTACAAAAAGTGTTGATAATAAGAAGTAACTCGACGTACTCTTCTTTGTAACTTCCATAATTATAGCGAATATCACCAATACTTGCGAGTGCTAGAGCCAATCCACCATCGGTTTTTGATTGCACATTAATTTTGAAGTGCGGACTTCCCCGCCGCCGCTGACACATGTAATGATTGTAGTTGTACTGATTGCGAATGATACCCGATCGTGAACAGAGCTAGAGCGCAAATTGCTACATACCACCCAATTAAGAATAGCTGCGGGAGTTGATGTGCATTGTGTGTGATTAATTTATTTTCCTGTGAAAACTGGTTTACATTTTCAAATTTAGTTTTACTCAATCGCAACTTCGCACCATGCATTACACACTCGCAGGGGTGTAAATCCGTGGGGGGGGGGGGGGGGGGGGGGGGGGGTATATACCCGCTCTCTTTTTGACCAGGGGGGATGGGCTATTGAATCATCCCCCAACTTTTCGTGATGAAAAACCAAAAAATACAGATTTCGAGGTATTTTTTTTAACTTCGCAACAACCAAAATGTATCTAGCACTGAAAAATGGAGGAAAAAAGTACAAAGGCTTAAAATACGCCATTTTGATGTAAGTGCAAACGGGAGTATACATAATGTACATCTGTATCATGAACAGCGCCCCAGTAGTAATGTTATCCCCCCCCCCCCCGGCCCCCGCTTTTCGAATTTCCACGGACGGGCAATTAGTGAGATTTTGGTCACCCCCATCCCCCACTCGCCATCACAGATTTACGCCACTGCACGCCCGAGGAGGGGTACTTCTATAGTTCTAGAGGTAGAGGTGGGCAATTGGGAAAGCGAACTTCAGGGGAGGCATGACACAAATCCCCCCCCCCCCCCCACCGGCCTCCACCACCCCCACGTTTTTCGAGTGATATGTAGCATACATACTCAGCAGCCGGCTGGAATGGCCAGTCGGGCACCTGCATATTTATTGATCCGCCTTTGGTGCTCCCGAAAATGCTGGTGCCCGCCAGGGCCCCAGATGAAAAAAAATCCTGGCCACGCCCTTTATTCATACATGTATACCTGTCGACATGTAGTGGCGCGCGCGGGCGGGCCCAAATCCCCTCCCCGTTCTCCCGTGCATACAGCCGGCGCCGCTGCGGCAGGGCGCGCGCGGCTGGCCCTGAGCACTGGGCGCCCCGTTACCTGTCTACCCCACCCTCCCGATGACCCGATCCCCCGCTATCATGCATGAGCTATGCCTCTGATTGAAATATTGATATTACTTTCAAGTTTTTACCCGTTTTAGTTGCTTTTTGTAACACTTTTCCGGCTGCTTGTAATTTTGTCCAACTCTTCAGTTTTGTTACACTATGATACATGTAATTTATCTTTTCAACACAATAGAATCAAGATTAAAGTTGTCCTTCAACAAATGCTCTTCACCAAATTCGATGTTTTCTCTGTTAGACCAAAAAAAGTCTCCAGTTTCTGGTATGGAGCTTGCCCCAAAAGTGGTGCGGCGCCGGCGACGCGGCTTTTTTTTTTGGGGGGGGGGTACTTTTTTTTCTTCAAATGTCGGCCGATGATTACAAATGGTGCCCGACTAAATTTAGTGTAAAATATATGGGAGTCCAGAGAGGCCACATAAAGCTTATACTCGATCGTAACCCCATCTAAAAAAACACGTTAAAAATGTTCACCAGCAGGATTCCAGTCAAACCAGTTTGGCAGTTTTGAGACATCATCTTGCATTGAAAAAAAAAAGTTTTCATTTTGCCGACGCGCATGGATACGGCGACGCACGCGCATACCAGAAACTGGAGACTTTTGTTTGGCCTTAGTATACATTTTCAACTTGTGTGTTTTAATTGGGGGGGGGGGGTTCAAACAAAACCGCTTTTGCGAGCAGACTGGCTCAGTCCCGGTGTCATATGAAAATCAGACTCGTATGAAAATCGGACTCTTTTTCCCTTTTATTGGTTAAACCCTTTCACGTGACCAGTCCCTCTCCTAATTATCTATGCATAAGCATGCGCAATACCACCAATGAGTCCGTATTTCATAAAACCTAAATTCATGCTACACGGTACGGTCCGTACACTATCGATACTGATTGTGGGGCGGGAACACTGATCTCTATATAAAGACTGGATAGCTAATAAAGAGCCGCACAATGTACGAATTTGACGCCATATTGGTGAGACCGGCTGGTGATCTTAGAAGGACAAGTTGCCGTCTTTATAGACAGCTTGATTTCTTTTGTAACGTCGCGGCTCACTTGACTTATATTTTGGCCACCACCACTGACCAACTGACCAAGGTTTACTACAATTTTTCTAACGTAGTGGTTACTTTTATAATGCCGCAAATCACTTTTTCGGCGTTTTTGAAATAATAATCACTACGGAAATGTGTTCCTTTTAGAACATCATACTCTGTGTACGTGACCAAAATGCGCGTCAACTGTTGATACAACGCGCGCGTATTTACGCGTAGAACGTTCGTATTATACGCGGCCATCTTCGTGAGACCGGGGGCGAATTGGTCAATATGCAAAGTCTACTGTGTGAATGTTGTATGCATATCCGCTATCCAGTCTTTAAATAGAGATCAGTGGGCGGGAACCATGCTACCCCTAGCCTCGAGAACGGGAATTATTGTCTGGCAGCCATCAATTCGAAATTGTAAAGTTAAAATTCGATAACTAAACACTGGCCGATTTTTTTCCGGTCGATGTCTGTTCGTATTGCTATACTAAAACACAGCAATTTACGAAAATAATCTATTTTCAGGGATGCAACTCGAAAAATAACTCGGAGAATAAAGTGGAGTGGTAAAAGTTTCCACTCCACTTAATTTGTGAACTTCTTGTTTTAATTTTCAAGAATTTTACAAAATTGATGAAATTTTGCTTCAGCTTTGCTTCCTTCATCAGCTAATAATGCGCGGCTCATCTCGGGGAAACGAGGGGGTGGGCGGAGTTTGGGTGAAGAGGCGGTGCTAAATTCACGACTGTTTCAGAATTTCAACCGTTCGTGAGTGGGATTTTATCCACATCCCGAATGAATGGACAATGGTACCCGCAAAATGAAATGCAGAAGGATTGCAGACAGAGTAACCAGCGATGTCCGTCCCATGATCGATCACGATTGACGTCGCAGGAGCTAACTTGTCCAATATTACGGACATTATGACGGATGAAAGTCAAAGTTGAAGCACCTTGTTACGAAGTAAGTCTAAATCTATACAGTTAAAAGGTGTTGTAAAGTATCGCCAGATAATTTTATATCTCAACTGTTTGGGTTTTTTTCTGTGAGAAAGCCGTCGCCCCGTCGACTGACACTGGTATGACGGTGTCATTGTCCACTCCGCAACACCGACGTCACCGTACAAAAGTAGTTGTACTGGCATGACTGGCAAGTGGCGCGGCCGGCATGACGTTAGACTTCGCTGATCGCTCGTACCCGCCACCCTGCAAACAGGACTCTTGTGATACTGTCTAGCTTTGGGCTATTATAACCCCAAGTGCCGGGGGTTTTGTGCACAAACCTTATCAATATCAGACGGCCTATAGTATATAGTCGGACTCCCTATTATCGCGGCATCCCTATTATCGCGGCATGGGAAATTTCTCTTTTTACAGTGTCAAAACTCCTTTAAGTGGCGATTTTTATCCGGTTCACCAGTCATCAAGGATTTTCTACCGAGGTGTTTAAAAAGGACGATTAAAAAATGTTGTGTCTTTCGGGACTTTTAACGATTTTAATAAATATTAACGTTTTCCAAAACTTGCAAAATTTTCCCTCACCATGTCTGCTAAAAGGTACCGCTTATATTTTAACATAAATCTTTAATTGCGCTCTGTTCATGAAAGTTCCATTGCCTGGTTCCCATTCTTCAGCTGCAAATGTAAAATGAAGTCGAACGACGATATTTGCAGCGCGAAATCGTAACAACTTTTACGGGATCAAAATAAGCACCGCGCGTTAGCGAAAATAAAACGGCACACCGTGTAAAGTGAATGGCGCCCTCAATCGCCGATCAGTAGACTTGCCTCAGGGATTTGTGTTCTCCTTTCGGGGGAAGGGCAGGGTCTTAAGAAATCATCCTGCAGAAATATAGTCTTTAATCAACTTGAAGGTTACAGGGAAAATATCAGACTTTATTCAGGGGATGTTTTGGTCAAACATTAACTATGAACAAAAAAGTTGGGATCATTATAAAAACCACTTCCCACATACCGCGATAATAGGGAGTCCACCTCCGTTCGCACACGCCGCGCATGTCTATTTTCACAGGCATCGTACACGGAATAAACCACACCACCGTCGGATTTTTTTATATTAATTTAAAAAGGAAGAGTTATACTACACACAAGACAGGACAATTCAGGAAGGTTAGTGGGCAATCTCTATTCCGAACGAGAAACGTGATAAGTACCGCGATAATAGGGCAACCCATCCTACATTGTATATCACGCTCAATTGACTTCGGCAAAAACCGCAAGCCTCATCATAAAGAATAAGAAGACAGAAGTACCGGACCTACTTTTACGAGAATGTGTTCGTAATGTTGAAAACACACTTATTTAGGCCTAGTACCAGAGTACTGTACAATGCAACTTACAGTTACATGTATGGGTACTCTACGTAGTTGCCACAGGAAAATTAAGTTTGATATTCCTAGACAAAAAAAGTCTTATAATTTCACATTCAAGACCGAAATTGTGTTGAAAATTACTTGGAAATTGTAATTAAAATGTGTATTTATAATTTGGATACAGGGGCAGAAGGCTTTTCTTCCCCGCTTGGGGCCTGAGGTTCTGCTCCCCTCTTTCCCCCCTTCCCCGCTCCGCCCCCCTCCCCCCTTCCCCCCCTTCCCCCCCCTCCCCCCCCCCCCCCTAAAAAAAAAATCTCCAAGAAATCCCCTTCCCAAATTTGTCCCATGAGGCCTGGTGGACAATTAAAGTAGCTACACCATTAACATGTTGATTTTTATTTGTGTCATAAGATAGTAGTATCTCCAATGGACGTGGATAATCCTGAAGGTGAACTGAATCTTAGGCCTGGTAACTATGGCAACCACGTCAGCCAATCAGAGGACTTGACAATGTCTTCCGAACACCTGTCGCCTATGTCGGAATCGACTTTCACCTGCGGGTGTTGCTATGAGATCATGGTCCAGCCGACTACTCTGAACTGTGGGCACAGCTTCTGCCGGCTGTGTCTGGCAAGATGGTGGAAGACGCAGAAACGAACAACGTGCCCTGAATGTAGACATCCGTGGACAGGATTCCCACATGTGAACATCATCCTCAGGTTTGTATAATGTCAATAATTATTTTATTAGCTGTGTGTAGAAAGTGTGGTTCAATTGAAATTATTTACCTGGTTCCGGGAATACCCTGGTTTTGCCTAGTCTGAATATCACCCGTTATTCACGGAGCCAAATCTCCTGTATAACGTCTGATATGTCAAAGCATGCAGATTGATGCGATCTCACGCCTCAGCCAATCGGAGTCGACTAAGTTACTAAATCGTGACGTCATTTCATTCCCAAATCAGGACTAAATGGTTTGATTGGTCAATTTGAATGCAGTGTTTTGTAATACAACAGCTGGGCGCTTGTTGTGTAACATAATAAAGAACGCGTGACCGCAGCCTTTGTAATTATTTTGTTGCTGTGTCTATATGCTTTTTTATCCACGCGACAACGATGAATGACCGAAGACCCGATATAGAAAGTGCCCGCTGATTGGTCAAAATCTAGAGGTCAAGATGTGGTTGTCTTGTATCATTAATTTGCCATGAGGCATCACAAATAATTTTACGTCTTCACTTTACAGAACTATTTTGATTTTTTCACCTTGGAAAACTTTTCAAATTGTAAATATAAAAGGATAACAGTCTTTATACATGATAGGGCTGAGCGGAACATACCGAATATCTGAATATTTGATCACCCTTCAAATATCCACATAACATTTTACCGCATAGAACATAAAAAAAATGTGTGTCGTTTCATGTAGATAATGAAACACATCTGTGATGTTATTTTATTCATGCATGTAAGTTGAGTGGATTGATAGAGTACTGAAGTGTCTTTGTTCTTGTTCACGCACTGGTTTAGCGCTTTAATCTCAACATATTATATACTTAAGCTATGCGCGTGAACCAGAATACGCCAGAATACTTCGGTGCACTATTGTTTGTCAAATGCCTCATTTCTGTGGACAGCCACTTCACATGCATGGTTTTTGATCCTCTGTGATGAATGAATATTAGCCCTAATTTGCAGCTAGTTGGCTACTTAAAAAGGATGTATTTAAACAATATTTATCAAAAGATTCTATATCTCAGAGGCAGTGATCAAATATATTTGAATATTTTACAGTGGAATCAAATCCAAGTTCCTAAATTGAACATTAAATCATTCGAAAACGCATAATACCAATTCATGAAAACTGCTGAAGCAAATTTCATCAAGCACAGACATACATGTAGTAGTGATTTTAAAAAGTTGCCAGCTAGACTTATTTAGTCATACATGTACTTGTACCTGCTGTTACCCACTTTTGACTGGTTCTTGGTTGGTTTTTCCTTAACCCTAACCTTACCAACTCCATCCAAATCCATCCTCTCATTTGGGGGGATTTTGGCAGGTTAGTCATGTGTACCAAGTCAATCAAAATCCACCAGCACCAGTGGTGGATTTCAAGGAATTTCGTCCTGAAGCATTATGTAAAGCAGAGTCAGTGATGGATTTTAAAACTAAGTATGGAGTTAGGGTTATTATTATGAATTTGTTTATTAGGCAATATTTTCTACATTTAATTGTAGCACCAGTATATTCAGTGTTTCAAGACATTCCTAACATCTCTCTGCTGTTCAATTTCACAATTTCAGGAACACGATGGAGAAACTTTGCACCCCCCAGTTAGAGGCACGAGCTGCTACGTTACAAACACCGACCAGCGCTAGCATCTTGGAGGAGTTTGAACAGTTTGGGCAAGAACTCGAGAAGACACAGACGAAAGGAATGGCTGCTGGTAATAGGGCGCCGCGAGGGTTTGTCTGGGGAGTACTAACAACGTTAGGAGTTGTGTTTGTGAGTATATGCTTGCGACAAATCAATGTCTCATCACAAGGGTCTGTTTGGTGTGAGTATATAAACACCAGCAATCGTGGACCTAGGACAAAAGGGTTAGGGCACAAACAATACGTCCATGATTGACCGATAGTCCAAGATTGAAATTCGTGTACAAACCCAATGAGAGCTGTTGCTAAAAAGTGAGAGTACAAACAAAGGAATGAGGATTAGGGACGATAGGGGGTTCACGATTGCCGGTGTTTACAAAGATGGGTGTGTGTGGGGTGTTTGGGTTGTGGTGTACATGTTACACATGGTTCCTTGTGGGGTACAAAACCCTGAGAGTAACAGGAGCGGAGGGACACTAGACCCCACAAAAGTCAGTCTTTAGGAATCTGTCTGCCCTGTAAGGTAAACGATATGGAGTTCAATAGTTCAATAGTAACAAAGGAGAACAAAAGGGAAACAAAGGTTTTCCCCGCAAGTATATGGATGTGTAAGGCTTTGGTCTTGTTATCCTTTACGACTGAGGACTTGGGGCAATGGGGGATTTGTGATAACAATAACTTCGAGGACCTGAGCCAAGTCCTCGGGAGGTTTTCCTGTACAAACCTTAAAGCTATAGTCCATCATTTGTAATTAGTGCATTTTGTTCGTTTGAAGCAACAAAAGTGTACAAAATCTAATGAAGGATACTGAACAACTTACTTGATGAAGTTTCAGCTCAGCTTCAGCTTCATATTCCGAGAAAAACAGCATTGTAGGATCTCAATTTAAAATCAAAAGTTGCTAAATCATGTTTCGAATTGTTTTGAATTGCAGCTTTACGCGATGTTGCGCACTGATCCAATGAATTATAGCAACCGCGCGCGCCTGTGCGTCGTTCCAATGCTTGTGCGCGCTGCGCCGAATAACAAAACGAACAACTAATTTAAATTTTCCTACGGTGCTTCTTAAGAAGCACCGTTGGAAATGCCTTCTTTCGTTGATTTCTTCAAAATGAGAGCTTGCCAGAAAGGATAATTTCACAGGGAGTTTAGTCCCCATACTATCTTTCAACCAGTATGTTTTTCAACAATAATTACGCCGGTTACTTTTTTTGATAGCTGCAAATGATGGACTCGGGCTTTAAGGGAGATGTTGAGAGCAAGTTGAAGTAGGAACAATAGGATCAAAAGAAGGGAACAATGGGAGGTCCTCATAAGTAGAGGATAACACGACTGCATGTGTTTGTAGGGGGAGGAACGGTATGAGTTTGTTTCTGCATTCAATACGGGACGTTGAACAATAGAGGACAATAGGGTCCCCAATTCCCGAAGGTCCCCAATTCACGATCGTGTAAAAAACATATGGGAGGTCTTCCTAAAAAGTTATAGTACAAACAAAAGAGGGACAATAGGGGGTCTCCGATTGCAGGCAAATACACATGGGTGTGTGTGTGAGGGGGGGGGGTGTGAGAGCAGGGGGGGGGGGGGGGCAAGTAGACTGGATCAGATCATTGGGTTTGTGATGGGAGTAGTAACGATGATGGGCGTACTAACTGCCGGGAGTTATGTTTGTGAGTATGCTGGATAAAATCATTGTGTCATCTCAAGGAATTGAGTGGTGTGTTGGAAGCACAGAGTAAAATGTATGACACACAGACCCATGCACCTGATGTCACATATATTCTTTATTAAACAATACCATTTTTACTTTAAATTTAAAAACAAAATTCTGATAAGGAAGAATAGTGTTGTGCCCACTGGAAAAATGAAGTGCATAGTATTGCTCTTCCAGGGTATTAAAAGATAAGAGTTTTGGACTGTCTTTGGTTTTCATGAATACAATTTAAAAAGTGACTGGTGACGCTGACCAAAACTCAACCAAAGTGACAAAATGGGAATTGTGCCTTTGTATAAATTGCTTTTAAGCGTTGATTGACTTTGCACCACAGGTGGTCCAGTTGCTACTCAACTGGGGTAGCGGGGACAGCAACATGTTGGTCTATAAGCCTCTGAGTACATGGAAATCTGAAGAGGTGTCGGATTGGCTACAAGAGCTCGGAAGCTGGGCTGGGAACCAGTACAGTCAACAGTTCCTGGAACATAGTATCAGTGAGTAGCAAAGTGGGCAAATGAAAATGAAAGGTTTAACACTAACCCTCCTCAGTCCTCCAAAATCAACCAGGCACTTTTAGAGGATGTTGGAGCATTGAGGCTCTATGCTTGTTAAGTTACGGTTGATTTTTGGAGGATGCATTGTGTCAAGGTCTTAAGCTGTACCTGGCTGTGCTTATGCTTAACCCTAACCTTCCCAAATCCTTCAAAATCCTCTTTGCCAAATGGAAAATTTTGCAGGATTGAGGCTATCTGCAGAATTGTGTGGCTGATTACAGAGGATGCACTGTATCAAGGTCTTAGGCCGGATCTTGTGTTTTTTATGCTCGGCCGTGCATAAATTTAAGCCTATATTATACTTGAAATCCTCCGCACTGCTTCAGGATGTCTCTGGATGTCTCTTTTCATGAGATGTTCCATTTCACGAGGCGAAGCCGAGTGGAATGGAACATTTCATCTGTCATTGAAGGAAATTATTCTTACCATTGCACGAATGTGAAACATTCATTATGAATAAATCCTCAACACCTGAATAAATCCTCGTCGTCTGATATAGTGTGCCGCGTTTTCTCTTCTCAGTCCTGAGTAAAATCGGGACAAGACGTTTTTCAGTTGTGAATCAGTACAGTGCTTCAAAAGATGTTCCTGTATGTTTTGCAAATTCGTCTAATCGTTTGGCAGCGTATTTTATTTGCTTCTTTGTGTTAGCAGCGTCAGCATCACCTACAAGTTCTGCTACATGTATTTCATCTTCTGTTAGGAGAACAAACGGCGAAACGTCCGCATTTAGTGAAATAGATTCGTGTCACAGTACTGAAACCAGTGCAATGGAAGTTCTATTCACCGTGCAATAGAACTTCCATTGCACTATGCGCTGTGCGCTGCGCGCGTTATGCGTTGGGATGAATGTGATCAACGATCCACCAATCAGATGACGGGGATTTATTCAGATGTTGTATAAATGGGATAATGAATGGAAGAGTCCTTCCTAACGCTCTCATTGTATCTCTTGGGAGGAACTTTTGCAATGAAGAATTGGTCCTGAATCTTTTCCAATACTGCAAAACCAAACGTTGAGTTTGAAGGATTAGTCAATAGTTTTGCATACTTTATACTGCAGGGGACATGCTTGGCCAGTTGGAATATTGGTGCATTCCTCGCTTTGCTTTGCACATAGACTTTGTGCGTTAAGGGGGAGGCAGAGGGCAATAGTTTTGTATTGTGTGAATAGGCATGATGAAACTTGTGCATTCAAACCCTCTGCGATACCTGCAACGCATAACGTTTTCATCATCATCATCATCTTCATCATCTCCCTGAACTTACTACATGTATATCCACATCCAAGGTTCAAATCTCCTTTCAGCTTGATCCAGCCTTTTCCTCCTCAAATATACTTCTGGACCTATCTTACACCTCATACTAAAACATCATTTCTTCATTATCTTTCTCTCCTCAGGTCGACAGTACAGATACATTCAGACCTCCTAGCTACCGTGTCATGTAAGCATCCTTTGCAGGAATCATTGGTTTCATTTCAGGAAATTACACACAGGTCCAGATTACGTGTACTTCAAGGCAGGAGCGCCATCCTAAACTCCATTTTGTGAGGCACCCTTCCCCCATCTCTAGCAGTGGTGTAGTCCTTCACAAGTCCTTTCACAAGTCCATCACAAGTCCATCACAAGTAAGGGGTGAACAATGACAAAGGAATGCTTTTGTAACAGTTCTCTTGAATAGCTAGTAACTTGATGTCACCCACGGCTAGCTGGACGTGGTCTCCCTAGAAACAAGACAGCAACGTGTGTCCTACTCAAGAAGCCTGAGACCTGCTACGAAGAGACTGCCGTACCGCCACCCCCAAGATGATGACTGAGACAGGATTAGATCTACAAGCCTTGAATAGTTTGTAACACTTCAAATTTTGCTTCGACAATGTAGGACACAGTGTAAAATCCTTCAAATTAATCCTGTGTCCAGTATGCTCTGCCCTTTCAAATTCTTGACAGTGTTACCCTGACGAGCAGGTGGGCCATCTGTTATGCTCCACTGCACTCCTTTTCAAGATTCGTCGTCTCTTCTGTACAGACAACCTTTCACACAGCACATATCAAACCCTTCACGTAAGAAAATCAGAAGTTTTGTTGTGCGTCTCAGAATCAATTATACTGAATTCTGATTTCACAGAACGAGGGTATATTACACCCACTTTCCAACGCTGGCTGAATCGCCTTGCGTCATCACAGTTTGTGAACAAGAAATGGATTAATAGGTCACCTCTTTACAAGTCAACTCTTTTCTTCTGTCAGATGGTAATTTACTGATGGGATTAACGGAGGAATCTCAACTGGAAGATGAACCGTTTAACATCAAGAACGTCTTACACAGGCGAGCGATACTAGCAGCCTTGGAGAGGGTCAAGGAACGGGGCGCCAAACCACCAAGAGACCTTTGGGAATATAAGGTAACCTTCACAGTGGTCTCATACCTAGGGGTAGACCTTCGCCCCAACAAACCCCCCCCCCCCTCCCCAACCCCACCCCACCCACAAATGCTGACTAGAAAATTAGAAATTTCCCCACACTGAAAAAAGTAAGGTTCACCGCTCGTGAAGACTATATGTTCATTATTATTATGTCTACATGGGAGGGACCACACTGCGTGGGAATACTGATTTCACAGCCATATGTCGCGAAGTGCGCATATGTCACCAAGTGCGCAAATGTCGCAAAGTGCGCAAATGTCGCGAAGTGCGCAAATGTTTCGAAGTGTCGCGAAGTACGCATGACAAATTTGATTCTGAATGTGTACAAACCCATGGTCGCTCTACGCAAGCGCCGGGCGTCGTAGCCAATCCACTCAAATGTCCCATCCAGTGGTCTCCCCCAACTCTCTGTTTGTAACCATTGGGGAAAGGGTACTAGAGTCCACGCCTTCATCAGTGGTTATTTATGATCATGCATATTCACATCTCTTCTGCATATTCACGTCTCTTCTTTTTTGCCAGTCCTTACATAGAGGGTTAGCCACGTTCCTCCTCTTTGTCGTCAAGGAGTTTCCCCGCATCACCATCTCCTCCATGTACATCTTTTACTACGAGGATATCTTCTTGCCATTCATACACATCACCTGTCCGGGAAGTCAATCGGAAGATATCGTGGAGGGAATGCAGTTACCAAAGAATTATGTAAGTCCACATTAGCGATCATAAACCTTCAGATAACGGCCGTTTCTGTTTTGGTTTTTGTGGAGTTGGAGTGAACTGTAAAAAGTGTTTTTTTTTTTATTGAATTCTCTATAATACATTTATGTTTTATACAGTGTTTGGCCCCTTGTACAATTCACATCAATCTGTAGATATACATGCATAGTATGTATATGTCAGGACATGTATCAGGACATGTTCTCTCAAATCCAGCTTGGTACATCACAAATATTAAAGATGTTGAGTGTTTCATACAACTTTGGAATGTTTGCAAAAGCTCCATGAAACCATTGTCACCTCTTTAATGAGGTGATTTTGCCTTTTAAAAGCCAGGTCTTTTTCGTACCAGTATTTCAGGATTTATCTTTTACACAGCCCACTGTAACATTATCTGGTTAATCTCTTCAGGCAATTGACCATACCACAGGTGGCCAGTTCATTTTCTCTGAGAACACACATACACCATGCATAAACACTGCACGTATATGGATATATGCACAGACCCTCAATACAGGATTTTCACGATCAAAAAACAAAAGATGGTTTCACTACTGAACGTAAACAAAAATTATACGGGATATTGTATTTATTGAAAATCTGTGTGCGCTTAGGCCACTCAAAAAGGATTTCTAGGCAATCCTAACTAGTTAGTCAGTCAAGCAATACTAAATCAAATTAGGTTTTTGCCTTAATTGATTTGCATCACCCCGACGCAAAAATTCCATCTTATCAAGTGATACTAGTTGCTTCCTGCTGGTGATGGCCATACATCCAGTAATAAACTCCCCCAAGAGGAGTAAATCTTGATGTAAGAGAGAGGGCTGAAACTCTTGTACCAGCTCGGGCAAAAACCCAAATATAAGCTAACAATATTCCGGTCGTCTTTTAAAAGAGGGTTTCACGGCATGTCGAGTAGTAAAAAGCCGGTTTGATTTTTAAAAAAATTGAGTGTATAACAGCCACACATACGTCATCAAACAGTCTTTGGGATTGTTTTCTCCCACAGAATGACACCATTGAATGGGATCAGTGGGCGGAGTTCATCCCCAAGTTTATCTTCTTGCCGTACTATTTGATGGCTGAGCTGTCCTGGGCGTGGATCGACGTCAATTTTATGCCGGTGATCTTCATCCTCGCCAACTGTGTATTCCTGACGATGATTGAAGCTAAGACGGTCAGGAAGGTCTTGAAACATGGATTGAAGTAAGAGTTTACTAATTTTCAACAAATACTTGGGATTTGACTCAATAAACTTGCGACTCGGCAAAAAAACTGGGACCGTGCATTACAAACAAGGCTTGACCAAAGCAAATTTTGGTTTTTGAGCTTTGATATTAAACAAAACTTGCAACTTGACCAAAAAAGTTTGAATCTTGAAACATGGAAACTTAGAAATGTGAGCAATGAACATGGAACGTGAATATTAAGACTGAGGACACTGCATAATTGAACTTTAGCTTTGAGGAACTTATTAGACTTCAATTTTTACTTGAGAGTATTCCAGATATGATTCCACTTTTTATAAAGATTCTTGGTTAGACTATTGATCTCTATGACTGGAATTTTATACTAAATCCTTCAAAAGGAATGGTAAAACATCACCAATTTCTAAGTCTGAAATCTCATTGCTGTGTTTTTTCTAAGATGTAAAACGGTACAAGAAACTTTCGAAATTTGACAAAAGTTTTGGATTTGTTAGTTTTATTACACCCCAACTTCAGCATTGTCCCAGCTATAGTTTGGATTGCCCCAACTATTTTTTGGGACTGGCCAGACTATAGTTAGGACTGTCCAAGCTTTAGTTGGGGCTGTGCCAACTATAGTTGGGCCATTACTGTATTTGGTCAGGAACATCTTCATTACGATCCATTGCTTTGTATCGTTTCTTCAGAGTACTGATTCCAACGATCAAGAAGCCAGCCAACACTATGTTATTCATTCTCGTCTCGGTGGTCATGTGGCCTCTCATTCCCAGCATCTTTTGCGACTTTGCCTTCTACATCTCGCTGTACTACTCACCGTGTGGGAATTTCTACACCATCTTCTTCCAGTGACCCAGCAGTGTGTCATGTGGTCCCTGCTATGTTGCAACACATGTGAAGACGACCCACCATTATTCAAATTTTTACATTTTCCCAAATTTGTTAAAATTCATCAGTTCTTATTCTGTTTGCAGAATTGAGGATAACACCAAATTTTCTTTGAAAAAAAAAAATTGGGAAGAAATTAAGTTTTCAAATTCTTTTTTTACACATTGTATATTAACATGTTATGACCTATTGTTTTAAGTGAGATGCAGTTTTATTTAAATTTTATAGATGGATTCATTGACAAAATTTTTTTCCGAGTATGAAGGGAATACTTACATAATTGTGACCCGCTCAACAAAAAAGGGTATTATGAAATTGAGTTTCATACATGGTTCGAAAGCCCACAACGTAAGCTTTTATTTGGTATATAATAGAGCTCCATAGCCCCTCCCATTCTGGAGATACGACGTATTTGCATATTAATTACTTCCTTGGAGTTTGAATTACACAACTGAGAAAACAGGCTTTGAAATAGCTGGCTCTGTTGTAGATTTGGGCACGATGCACTAAAAATTGTTGTTTTTTCCCCCACTTTATTCATCGAAATCAACATTTCTGTGAATGAAACCTGAAACTTTAGGTATTAAAGATGTCATTCATGACAAAAAATGAAAATGTAATTTTGACGAAATGTTCAACCTCTCAACGTTGAGTAACGATAATGCACAGCGTGACTTGATTTCCTTTTTGTGGAGTGGGTCACAATTATGAAACTCATGACATCATTGGAACATCAGTGATTCGTGAATAGGTATTTTTTTTTTGGAAGGTGCGGGGGGGGGGGGGGGGGGACGGGGGCAGACCAAATTACAGTGCGGAAGAGACAAAAATAACAATAGTTGTAGGCTTTAGAGCACTGTGATGGAATTTTTTCCAGCCACCTTACGCAAACCTTCATGTAATCGCCCATACTTATCACAACCAAACCAATAGCGATACTTCAGTTCCAACAGAAAGTTTACGTTTGACAGATATATGTGTAACAATGCAGAGCATGATGGCAATTTTAATTTTTTTGGGGGGGTGTGGGAGATACTAAAAATGCAGAATTATGCCCCCCAAAAAGGACTTAGAAAATAGTATATATATGGATTTTATATGGAGTACTGTAAATGAATGTGATTTTGATTGAGCCACTTTATGATTTTTGAATACACCAACAGTGTCATGGTGCATATTTTGTTTTCATTAATTAATGTTTACGAGTGCTAGCAATCATTTTGTGTCCTGTTTTCTCGAGTTTAGTTTGCAGTGATTAAGCGCTTACATTTTTTGGTTTCAATCCTTGCACGTGCCAGATTGTAAAATTGTGTAGCTAGTTGCAGATAATTACAAAAGACGTGTTCGTTTTTAGGTTGAAATTTTTATCAGCCTCTTCTAGAAATTTAGTTTGTGTTTAAAGGGAATATACAACATTTGCAAACATCAAAAAATAAAACTACAAAGTTTTTACGAAATACCTTACTAGGATGTTGGTAAATGACAGTCTAAAGCATCCTGTAAAATTATGGCACCTGGTGTGAAGTCATTTTCAAGAAAATGGTATTTTGTATACATTTCCAATGGTGGTCGGCCGACCACTGTTGGAAAAACTGAACTATTTTTCAACTTCTGCTCCAAATTTACCTCTTTTTTTCAGTCCAAATTTTGTTTGCCATTGGTTACATGTTCATGAACGGGTGCAGGCCAGCTAGACTGGTTCCCTTACCTTACAATTTTCCGGCATCTGTAAATTGATCCATTTCATCTTTAGTGGAGTCAGGGAACCAGACTACTTGAACATTTTTGTTTTTCTTGGTTTTTCCAGCATTTTCAAACACAAAACTTCAAACATGTCAATGTAGCAATATTTGATCTATCATACTAACCCCTCAAATAGTTCATTTCTAAAAATGTCAGCAACAGCCAATGATGTACATTCCCTTTAAGCAATTGTAAGCTTAGTAAGACAATGCCACTTAGTAAAATAAGCTGTTCACAGAGAACACAACATTCTATTCAATTGATTCTGAATGGCTATTCAGTTGTAGTTCATGCATCTGGTCTACACAATGGGCCGGATTTAGCCTGTCATAGACATTACGGAGTAATCCTATACAATAGCACTGCCCAGCTCAGAAGTGACAGTCGGTCAGTGAGTCAGTCAATGAGGGCACAAAGAAGCCACTATGGTGACCCTTTGAGACCAATAAACATTACTTAAATGTGAGGCGTTCTAGCAAAATGAGACAGCTAGGCAGAGGTCGAAATGATGGTTTGCGGGTATATGTACATGTATCAGGAAAGACGTGAAGATTTCCTTACAATACCGTTTGTTGCACTTCAATCGGACATTCCGTTGACAAGTTATGGCTGTTGTTAAAATTCGCATTTAATGACATGTAATTTTTTTTTGAAAATATAGAGAAAAAGGCCTTTAAAGTTTTGGGTTTTGTAGTCTTGTGAAAATGAAAGGTGCAATTGTTTTTCCTTAGAAACACTTTTATTCCAGGATTTCCATACTAATTCTTTATGTGAACAAAGAATACAAATATCAATAAATCTGAGGGAAAAAAACCAATTACCTGTATTCGTTGGGTTTTTTTTTGCTTTTTTTTTTAACAATGGCCGGTGCCCAGTTCCGTCTCATTTTTCCAGAATGCCTCAATGTCCCTTCTGCTGAAAGCTTTTTCACTCAATAGATAACATTGTCCAAAGTGTGAATGTTAAGGAGAGGGAAGAATTTGAAAATTGCAATAAGGCCAAAAAAAAAAAAAATATTCGGTCTCTGGTCAGACCAAAGTCAAGCTTGGATTGTACAGACAAGGTGGGGTACTATTTGGCTTTTTTGGTGTCCTCATGTACATTGGTGTCCTCCATAATTTGCCTTGGTGCCCTCGATTATTTGCCTTGGTGCAATTTCCCATTCCTTGGTGCTCTTTGGTAAAAAAAAATTGAGGAGGTGCAGAAATAGAGGGCGCTGTTGGAGCTACCGCGGAACATTTTGGGAAAAAAAAAGATCGACGCGCATGATTAAAATCGACGCGCGCGCTGACCAGAGACCGACTTATTTTTTTTTTTGGCCTAACACGTATTTGTCTGATTATGGTATACATTTCTACATTTCACATTTTGAAAAGCTATTGATGCTAGCTAGAAGCCTAATTTTTGCTCATTGGAATTTTGTAGACCTTGCAGATTTGATAGAAAGTGTGCTAGAGGAATGCAAACTTTTGATGAAGTAAAGAAAATTCCTTTCAACGAAATTATGTACAAAAAGATCACTCCTTCATCAGTACTTTGTACTGTAGTACAGTGATCCCAATGAATTGTTTAAAAGTTATTTTAATACTGATGCTTTAAATCAACGATTTTGGGTATAATTGTTAATTTTAATTTGTAAATAAACATATCAGGGCGGTGCAAATTCATCTTTAATGAATGGCGTAAATAAACAGAAAGATTTATATGACATGTTGAGTGATGTTCATTGTTAATTATTTCTCCGTAGATACTCGCACTACACATGGCTAACAACCATGTTACCATTTCTGAAACTTTGGCTCAATTTTGGCTTCCCAAATCCTGTTATAAAAAAGAGAACATTAGTTTGAGTATTTGCCCTGCAAGTGGTTCCTTGGCAAAGGACAAAGTCAAAAGCTGGAGTAAAACCCGGATTTGTAAAATGGCACAACATATTTCAAAGGTAATACATCAGTTGCTTTTGCTGTAATTTTCAGAAATGGATGGATTTGCCACTTTTTGATTTGCCACTTTTTGGGGGTATTTTACAGCAAATTTTGTTACACTGATCTGTTTAAAGATTTGTGTTCATAGATGCTGGAAAATCCAAGAAAAATGTTGTTCTGGTAGTTGGTTGCCTGACCCTTCTTCAGACAAAACACAGCAATTTATAGACTTTGGGGAATTGTCAAGGAATCAGATTGACTGGCTTGCACCGTCCAAAATATGGACTATTGTAATAAGTTTGGTAAACTGGGGGCAGCATTGAAAAACTTAGGATTTTTTTTTAAATTGATACACAAATTTAACTTTTCTTGGAAATGACAGCACACAGGATGATTTCACAAGATGCCAATAATTTGGTAGTTTTGTGTTTTGATGTTTTCAAATGCATATTACCTTTAATGTGGGGGAAAAAGTCAACAGTTATTTTTGATTTACTAGGAATCCAATGCGATTCCAGGTTTAAAAGTTTAAATTCCGCAGGGAAATTGCAAAATGTGATCCTGAATGTTACGCTGAACACTTTTCAAATCTCACCCTTCTGTCATGGGTGAATATCCCTTTTAATATGCATCCAGGTTCAAATTTACAACCAAAAAACTGGAGTGATATTACTGGTCATGATGATGCTGGACACTTCCCGAATGACAAAACAGAAACTCGGTGTTTCATTTTTAAGACATCTACGTGTATCACAATTTATTCTAACAGTGCAGCAATCTGTAATCAAAAGAATCCATTCTCAATTTAAAAGAAACTTTGGGTTGACATTATGAAAAAAAATGGCACACAAGTAGCATAAAACAACTAGTTTGTCAGGCAAGCAACTGGTAATTTAGAAAAAACACCAGGAAACTCCAAACCACACAAGACTTTGACAGTGTTTTTCAATTTGTAATGGCATTAATGAGAAGTAAAAATCGAGGAAATCAGTGGATCCAAGGAAAAGTTGCGTGCCTGATTTTTTTGCAGCCTATTTCAAAAAGCATATTTTCAGGATTGACCTGGAATTTATCTACATCAGATAAAATTTTGCCATCATAAATAGTTAAGATAAAACATGAAATAATTAAATATGCACTAATTTGAATTACTTTTATTACAGTCTGCTTCGATTTTAGAATGCTAAAATTTGGCTTGATTATAGAGTTATGGCATCATGTTGCTTAAAATGTCCTTTTATTACGAAAATTTGATAACATTTGAGCAATTAAGGCAAGAGTAATTTCTAGCACACAAAAGAATAGAATAATAGGCTATTGCAATTAGAGAATAAAATTCTGAACACATTGTAAACAATTCCACGTCTTTCCAATGCAAGAATACTTGGTTGTGGTAGCACCGCTCCACGTTCTATCAATCATACAGATTCAATATTACATACATGTACATGTAAGCTGCATTCAATATGATGCAATCTTTCCACCTTTGAATATGAATGAAGGGAAATACATTATTAATGGGTCATTCTATACATTTTCCTGTCCCTGTTACATCTGACCATCTATGATTCTATAATTCTGATGCACTCCTTAATGCAGTGGTCATATAAGAGTGATTATGAGTAGCAAACTACCTACCCAACAAATACATCCTTTGAAGTCATTCTTAATGATACTTGAATGGTCAATTACGAAGTACCATGTGGTAACAGTTATGTCAAAAATGTCACACTTTGGATCCTACATTTATAGAATGTCCCAGATGTGTGGGCAATACAATTTCAATAAATACAATAGCAAACAATTTATAGATGAAAGTTGAACTTTTCAGTTGTCAAGGTACGATTGGAATGACGGATTCTTTTTTTCCCCTAATGAATTACTGGCAGCACAGAGGTAGGCAGTTAGGTAAAATCGGCAAGGTGCTCACAAACAACAGAGAACATGGTTACTTGTCTTACGCGATCATATAGGTTTTCCTGGTTATGTTAACACTTGTATTGTTCAAATTCCATTGATAGATACTTTAACTCATTACAACCTGTACTACATTGTATTACATTGTATTACATTGTATTACATTGTGTTTATTCACTGAAGATTCAATAAAAACATGGTGCTCAGGCAGTTTTGGGTGCTACAGTGACCAAAAGGTTAATGCTACATTTTCAATTTACACCTCTAAATATAAAATCTATTGGTGGAATTACCAAGAACCAAACAACGTCTGATCCTGAAACAAAAGTCTTTCCATGGAATTGGAATAATAAAATTGTTAAAGTAACCAGGGCAACCTGTGTTTTTTTTGAAAACTTGAGATCTAAAAATTGCAAAGTGCCATACTAATTTCTAGTTACAGTTTAAAATCATTAAAAATAAATTAGCTTTTCTGAGTATGATAACATTTCATTGCATCAGCTTCTGGTAGAGCAGTCTCTTAAAACAAAGTAGCACACTGACATGAATGACGCTAATAACATGGCCATACAGAACAAGTTATTATTTTTAACTGTAAATGCATTTATGCTTTGTCCAACATTTTTTTTTTTCAGCTGTGATTCCAATTTGTGCACTGATCTAACAGACCAACACAATTCTCATTGAGACACTTCTATACCCTTTCCAGAAACCTGCAACAAGTATATACATGTACATGTATACTACAGAGCACCTAAATGTGTACTTGTTTAAAGCACCAGAAAAAAACCACTTATCTTCAAGCAAACTTGAATCCTCGATTCTGATTGGTCGATCCATGGCAACAATCCGTGGTATATTATCCCATACACCACAGTCCATATAGCACCTCGCGTATCGCGCTCGTCAGATGCACGCGCTTCGCTGGACGCACACGTAATCGGATTACCGCTGAAAAGTTTGTGTCCAGCATGTGCGTTCAAACTATGTTCAAGTTTACTTGAAGATAAATTTGTTGTCCCACGCGCACTCAGGAAACATGGAAAATTTAGTGCATCAGTCTCCCATAAGCCACTTGGCCTTCTGTCGCGTGGCATATGGGACCAAGACGCACTACATTATTCGATGTTCCACTCACACCCGTGGGATAACTAATACTGTTTATTAGCTACTTATATGTATACAGGCAACCATGTGGTGATATCATAATTTCTCTACTTCATTTTCTATCAATTTTTTTTAAAGAGGAAATATATCTCAGAAGCCTAGGTGGGCTTTTCATATCTGTATCGGCAACCAAGCATTCTGAATTTTAAAATTCATTCAGGGTTGTTATTCTGATCAAAATCATTCATCACAACCTCATCACCATCACTTCTTACAGGCCTCAGCAACGACACACTTGTCACTCCTGAAACCGTATCACTTTTTCATTTAATTTTGGAGCAAAAATTATACCTACTGTTATTTTAAAATACATGAACAAGTCACATGTGCTCACACTTGGATATTTCAACCAAACCTTATTCCCTTTTAACGTTCTGTTTCTTTGGTTTAAAAGCATACCCTATAGCTATGAACACAAATGTTACCACGTGGACGATGAACAATGTTGACGCCCAGTATCGCATTGTTGACCAGAACCCTAGCAGTAGGAACCCCATGGCCAGATACTCAAACGCTCGCATGCGGAAGAACCAGTTGAGTTTATCGTACCAGTGAGCGTTGGCGTCGGTGCGGAAAGCACGCATCATCGCATCCTCGGCGACCAGGACGATGGGCACCGTCAGGAAACTGAGGAAGTATCCGGGATGGATGCCGTGCCAGTAGGAGCTGACCAGCATCGTGACCGAAGTGCTAGAATAGTAATAACAAGAAGTCATTCAATACTAATACAAAAATGTTTAGCGCAAGGCCAACAAATTATTAAATAAATGAAGGTCAATTGTAGTATATGCTTCAATTATTCCTAGTGAAAAATCTCAACATTCCTGAAATTAGGAGATCAATTTGTTTTAATCTTACCTCCATGCTTTAACAGGAAAACGAAAGAAAACGTAGTTTTTGAGCCACCACTGTACAGACATGTTCCAGTTGCGCATGCCGTCGCGGAAGGTAGGGGTGAAGTCACATTGGTACCAGTCTATGTTATGAATGGTCTCGTAGTTATACTCCACTTGCTTGTCAGAACTTAGGGGGAGGGGGAAGGAATAAGTCAAATTAATAGGGATCAGTTCTAATTTTGCCAATGATGCTTAACAGAACAAGAACAAATTGAAGGGAATATGGCAGGTCAACTCGATTGGTAGAGCACCAAGGCTTCATTTCAGAGGTTGCAAACTCTGTTGGAGGTTGCTAACTTTGTAACTAATTTTGTCTGTTCTTAAGTAAAATAGAATTATTCACTTAGTAATATCAGCAAGTGGTTAAGTTTGAAATGAAAGAAAACGCACTTCTTGGTTTAGATATGAATAAAATGTATAGATCTACAAAACTTAAGTTATGACAAATTGTGTTAGCTTTGACCTCAGGCTTGCTAAAGTGGGAGTCGAACTGACAACTGCCGACTTACAAGTACACATGGCTGAAGCACTCAACCACCAAGGCTATACTGAGGCCCCAAAAAAATACTTTTGCTTCCAGTTACCTGACCGACCCTATTTTTAGGCCGCAACCCTAAAAATGTTTTCGGCAATTCCCCCCCCCCAAAAAAAATTAATGATTGAATAAATAAAAAAATTCTTGTTGGCTATGCGCTAGCGCCAGCATGGCATATGCATGGCAGGCCGCGCGGTGCACCGTCATTTTGTTGAATTCGACATTGTAAAATTGCCATTATTTTTTAAGAATTATTGAACGTAAAAATATTGACAGTAATTAAGGTAGGTTTTATTCACTATTTGTGGCCATTTTTTTGTATAGCTTTCGTAGTGCAATGAAAATAGTTCAGGCTAAAACTTCACATATAATTGAATACCCCATTCAATCAGCATAAAAAAAATTGGCACAAAAATTCTGACTGACCGACCCTATTTTTGAAAGGCATGTAATCGGAAGCAGAAGTATTTTTTTTTGGCCTGATCAATTTCAAGCCCATACACCCAAGAGTATAATGCCAAAACAAGGCAAACTGTGGAGCATCGTGGTCCAATGGTTAGCTGTTCTACTCATGTGCCACGGTATGGGTTCGAACCCTGACTGGGAGCATGACGCTGGTGTTCTTGGGCAAGACACTTTACTACACTTGCTTCTCTCCACCCAGGAGTATAAATGGGTACCTGTGAGGGTAGCGACCAGATTGTGCTGATCTTGAGCTGCTGCACAAAAATGGTCTCATAGCCTGATGAACAGGGGAAATAATTGACAAGCAAATGTCTTTGCAGTTCTTTTGAGTGACTTAACCCATTGTATTTTCTCCTCACCTGTTTATCTCATCTGGGTTGACACTTGGTCCCAGCCCCACCTTCGGTTTGAGAGAGACAGGATAAGCTCCTAACGTTGCTGACATGCAGACGCACTCAGACAGAATCCAGGCCGAGTACATGCGCAGCCGGAACAACATGAACATGGGTATCATGTACAGAGTCCTACAAACAAGAGAAATAAAGAAAAGGTGTGACTTTCACAAACTATACAGCTTCTCCTCCAGTGCTGGAGACAACATGACTTACAGAAGACGTTTGATGTTACTGGAATATGATCCATGCCACAAAGTAAGCAACCTAAGGCAAAACTAAATCTTTGAATCAATAAGAGTACTGAGGCAATTTCAGAATTTGGGGCAGTTTCAGGAGTAAATGGCAGGGCGGTTGTGGGCGCTTTGAGGGCTAATGGGTTGACCAACGTTTAAAGCACCGTATGGTGAGTGTTTCTGAGAGTTGTTCAGGAAACTTCACAAGCTTTATGGATTCTAGATCTAAATATTTGCCATTATTTCCTGGAACTCAACTCAACTTCAAACACCGTAACCAAAGATAACTTGTCTTACCTGTACCAATACCCATGTGTGTAAAACTCATCGGATTTGGCGTAATCGATGGACAGATAATGTGACATGATGAGGAACAGTAAACCGACGGGTACCAGTGTCTTTAGCCGGTCCACCATCGGCTCTATACTCGGGATATCCTGAGAGTTCTCACAGTGTATCATGTCATAGTAGGTCTTGTACTTGTAGTACGGACCTGCAGGTGGCGTAGGAAAAAAAAAATTGATTAAGGCCAAAAAAAAGTCTCCGGTTTCTGGTATGGAGCTTGCCCCATTAGTGGTGCGGCAACGCGCTTTTTTTTAAATTTTTTTTTACTTTTTTTTTTCTTCAAATAAATTATCGGCTGATGACTGTAAATGGTACCAGACTAAATTTAGTGCAAAGTATATGGGAGTCTAGAGAGGCCACATAAAGCTTATACTCAATCGTAACCCCACCTAAAAACATGTTAAAATTGTGCAGCAGCAGGAATCCAGTCAAACCAGTGAGTTTGGCGGTTTTGAGACATCATCTTACATTGAAAAAAAACCAACTTTTTCATTTTGCGGTCGGGCACACCCCTAAAGAAATACAACGTACCCGTAATGATTCCAATGAAGCAGAATGCATACTGAAAGACATCCAGTACTCCAGGCTTTTGTATAACGGCCACGTATCTGGACTTGGCAGAACCTTGGATTTGTTGGTCGGATGTAGCATTTTTTTGTTTGGTCTCAATCTCGTGGGAATCATGCACCTCAAAAGCAACACCAACTAGCTGAGGAGATCAGAAAAGTCATCATAACTCAAATTAAAAACAAAAAGCACTTCATTAATTAAAGTAATAAACTTTGAAGCAAAAAACTAGAGTAGCACATTGCCAACATTTTTAAAGACAGACTATTCAACAGTCTCAAATTCCTCTTTGATTTAGAATTTTTTTTTAGTGATGCGTTCCCCGTGTAATTTTCGAATTTCACCTCGAAAAATTCATTCTTTCTTCAATTGCTATTTTCTTAGCAATATACCCTGTAAGAAAGGCATTAACTTTTGAATGAGAAATCAAAAAAAAAATCCACTTACCTTCAGTTAATGAATTTTTTCTTCACAAAATTCAAGGTGATTTATATGTTTACCTCTTTTGTCTGTTGTTGGAATTTGACTACTCACAGTGTTTACAAGAATGTGATCTGACTGTTTTTTACTGGTCTGTATACAATATGCATGTAAGCCTGTCAGGGAAAGTCAAAGAAATGTTTGACTGTTAAGCATTCATATGAAAACTAACTTTCTTGAAACAAAAATGCACACTCAAACTACTTAGACTTGCACAGCTTACCTTCAGTGTTAGGAGGAGTTGCACTACATTGGAAAAGGCTGTTGGAGCTGCCAGACCAAAGAAATGTCCGGCTCGGAAAAATGTCAGGTAGGAAAAACAGAAGGCAAAACTCCAAATGTGACACTTCCTACAACATGTATGAATTAAAAAAAACATTCAGAAATTGATTTGGGAATTTAGAGTGTAAATCAAATGTAAATTTTGTCTTTCACCTGAACAATCGAAAGAAAAAAATAAAGTTATGATAAAAAATAACATCAATAAAATGTGCAATTTTTTTTCAAAGTTAGAAATCTAGTACTAGTAGTTGGCCTATAGTGGAAAATATTCAGCAATTGTTTATTTATTTGGGCCAGGCATGAAATATGTTTTAGTTTTAAAAACTAAACACTAAACAACGACAGATCAAATAGAAAAAAATTATGATGCAATGTTGAAAAATCTTGTTAATCTTGTTAAATGACTGACAAAACAGAGAAGGGGAACTTTTTTTCAACTGATTTTTAGTACATACATGTATAGCCTTCACGTAAAATGCCAAACAGTAGAGTAGGCCTATTACATTCCTTTTATTTATGTCACTCTATGGCTATTTTTATGGAAGCTTTAACATGTTTTTTAACATTTTTTTGTTTGGTAATATACATGTAGGGCCCTAGGCCCATATTTTCTTACTTTGATTGTTTTAGCTAGAACTCAGGCGTAGGAACAGGGGAGAAACCCTGAAAGGGCCTGGCAAGGTAAAAAGGGAAAATTCCGCCATCTGGAGGGGAACAAAGCTATAAAAATGGCAATGTGGGAGGAACATGTATTAAAAAGGGACAAATTTAACATGCACAAACACAGAATACTTGCAATTAACACATAAAACCCTACCAATCAGGAGAAAAAAAAGTGCTGTTTATACATAATGTAAGTGTTAATTAGTGTTGTCCATTTTCAGTAAAAACCAAACAAACAAAAACCCTGCTTTCTAAAAGACACAAGGAGTGATTTCAAATGAATTTTTTACTACAACACTTCCTGGTCCATTCATAGGATATACAGCAAATCAACTACATGTAGGCCAAGATAAAGAGCTGACTTTACCTGGGGTCAATGAACGACACAATAACACTCGCCACCACTGTAGTGAACAATGAATGGTAGGCCTGCCATCCACATAAACCAATCACCATCGACACACCGACAAATGTGCTCAACAATTGCTTCTGTAGAGCATTTCTGGAATGTTTCACGACGTGTCCTAGTCCCAGAGATATCAGTAACATGCACAGGTAGATGTACTCTGTCGGCGACATCGTTTTAAGTGGGAAATCAGAGATGTTTTTGGGACCAGGATTCACGGACGTTTTGTGTACCGGCGTTTTGTGTACCGGTGTTTTGTTAAACTTGTCGATAGAGGGCGGCATTGCAATTTAGCACAAGAGGGCTAGCTATGGTCACCAAAAAATAAATAAAAATATTTTCAGGCGCCGATCGACGCACATGGCAAACAAAACATATCTTGGGAAAAAAAGACAACATAAAATATGTGTTTTCGTCAGAAACTTTATTAAAGAAAAGTTTTGCGATGAAAAAATAGAATCTCTCTCTAAGGATCGTCAAAGTAAAAAAATACACACAGCAAAAAAAGAAGGAAAAAGTTTGTTTCTTATAAAGCAATATATATTCAATACTACATAAAAGAAAAAAGAGGTAGAGAATTAAGAAAGAAAAAAAAATAATTAAAATATATTATTTCATTCTAACTGTTGATGCTGCAGCAGCTGCACTCAATCAAAAACAAATATCAATGTTGCTATATGAGTTGACACACACAATTTGGAAATGCTAAAAACATATGCAATAAGTCAGGTCACTCAGTAAGGATCACCACCAGTACTGATATTTTTCTTACTACAAAAACTACTTTCAAGTTTCACCCTAAATAGATTTTATTGTTATTGCTACTTTCTACTAAACTAAGTACAAAAATATTCACCGAAGAGTTGAAAACGCAATCCAAAAAATGCCACGTTGAAGTTAAAGGAAATAATACACCCGTTTTTTTCATTAAAATAAAATATACAAATTCAAAATTCATTAGGACAAAAAAAAATCAAAATTTGTTGGAGAGCCCATGAAGATCAATAATAGATCGAGATCTACCTTCTTTACAGAAGTTTGGAGTCATACTTAAGCAATGGTATGTGTCTTAAGTACACTGGCAAAATCGTGTTAAAACTTGCATATCGTACAAAATTCCACCTGCAAATTGATGGAGTCCACTACAGTTGAACAGTCACTTATCTTAAATTGGTATCATAAATTTGGATTACTGTGAATTTAATAAGTACAATACTGTAATAGTGTAAGCCTCACATTCGGTACAAAATTTATACAAAAAGCTAAATCTTCAGCCAAAAAAACACTTCGCAGCAAAATTAAGGACATGCCAATTTAATCCCTGAAAAATGTAAATGTTAGTCTTCCTGATTTGTGGAAAGGTTTGCCAGAGCACGAGTTGATAATTCCCTTTCATGACTAAACATTGGTCTTGAAAAGGGGGGGTCAATGCAGCATTTACTGTGGAGTGCTGTGGTCCAATGGTTACAGTGTTCGACTTGTGTGTCGTGGGGTTCGAATCCTGACGGGGAACATGGTGCTTGTGCTCTTGAGCAAGGCACTTTACCATTATTGCTTCGTCCTTCGGATGGGACGTAAAGCCGTGGGTCCCGTGTGTCGGGTAATGCACGTTAAAGAACCCAGTACTGGGTAACACTTATCGCTAAGACAAGGGGTTTGTCGGGTCGCAGAGTGCATTATCCGAAATCCATTTAGTTTGATTTTATTTTGTACCACAAACACAAGAATTGAGAATGTCGGGGGAAGAGGAGCTAGCACTCTAGTAATTTAATATAGCTCTATGGTTAAAAGTGAGAGAGCAGAATATGTTTTTTGAAAAAAAAAAAAAGTTCATTTCTCACTCGACTTTCTTCTCGGTTCTCCGTGGCCTGAAAATGATGGACACTACTAGAAAGAATCCAGTCAGAGCATGCCCCAGGAAGTACGTGGATGCCCAGTGGCGCATGGTAGCCCAGAACCCTAACAATTGGAATCCCATGTGGACATATTGGAATGTGTAACACTTCATGACCCATCCCACCTTGTCATACCAGAAGATGGCGTCGCCACGTCGGAAGACACGCATGCTGTCCTCCGCGATGAGGATCATGGGCGTGGTCAGGAAGCACAGGAAATAGCCTGGGTGGATGCCGTGCCAGTAACCGCTGACCAGGAATGTGACGAAGGTACTGGGGGATAAATGACAGAAGGAAGGTTTAAAATATGATCCTCTCATATTATCTTTGGAGTTGTACCCTTTAAGATACAACACTATCAATTCTTGCTTTTAGTTCCAAGACTAAAATTGATAACTGTTCAAACTAAATTACAATATTTACTTTTTGTATTTTCACATAATGTAAAAAGAAGGTTCACTACAAAATACGGATTGTTGAATTTGCCATCTAGGCTGCATCTGCAGTAGCGTTGTGCATCGGGTCGGGTTGATCAGGCCAAAGCAACCCGAAACATACGCTCCTAATCCAACCCAACCCGACCCGACAAAAATTCAAGCAAAAACTGACCCGAATCGACCCCAAACCGACCAGACCCGAAAAACCACAAATATCTGGCTTGGGCAACTGTAACCGCTTTTTGTGCCTTAACTTTTAGCACTGATGGGCCTCCACATTATAGACTGCATGGTAGACCGCAAACTACATGCACATTTGGGCGGTCGGCTGACGTCAGTCGTACCGGGCACAGCAACTCTGCAATAGTACCACACCCAATGAATTTCCAAACCGTTTCAGTTGTTTTCGGTTTATTTCGGGTTTTTCACAAGATGGCTTAACCGAACCGACCCAACCTGAAAATTGCAAACGCAAAACCGAAACCGACCCGACTGAAATGATGGACAAACCGACCCGACCTGACCCGCACGACCCGAATTCGGTTTCCGGTCAAGTCAGTTTTGGTTTCAGGTCGGGTTAATTTGCACAATAGTTATCTGCAGTGGCCAATCCACATTGAAAATTTGATCATCATGCTTACCTCCAGGATCTGTATGGAAATCGAATATACACGTAGTTCTTCAACCACCATTGGACTGTCATGTTCCAGTAGCGCATGGCACTACGGAAATCAGTCGTGCTCTCGCAATGGTACCAGTCAATATTCTGAATGGTCGTGTAGTTGTATTCGACTGGCTCAGAGCTCGATCTGTGGAAAGGTCCAGTAAAATCTGTTTATAATCTAACATCTGAACATAAAATTCAAAACATAAAGACTGCAATATATTCAGATTTGAACTTTGTTTTCGAGCTTTGAATATAAGCATGTTCACTGAGACAAGATCAAATTAACACAGAATTTCACTGCAAGACGGAACTTGCCTTGGGATGATGTAAATTCAATATTTCAGATTCAAACCAGCCACCCGACCCCGGCGAAACTCGGTGGTCGAGTGGTAAGACGTCTGCGCTAGTACGCAGGAGGTCATGGGTTTGAGTCCAACCCGAGTGATTTTTTTTCTCATAATCACCCAGGACAACACTGAGTATACTGTTGGTGAAGGGCAAAGCCCAATATTGAATTTATCTAAAGAAAGAATTATCGGTAAAATGTTGCTGTTCTTACTTGCTGTCTTCCGCAGGTTCCACACTAGGTCCCAGGCCAACCTTAGGCTTGGTCGACACAGGATAAGCTCCTAATGTTGCCGAGATACAAACGCACTCTGCTAACAGCCATGCAGCGTACATGCGCAGGCGATAGGCAGTCACTAGCACTACTGTAAAATAGATCCTGGAGGGATGGGGGTTGGAGGGAGCAAAAATGGAAACAAAATTCTAAGTGAAACGGATGAATTGTTAGAGGATATGACTTGAAGCTTTGCATGGCTGATGAGATAAAGTAGAAAGATTGCGGGTAACACCATGTGGAAAGTAGTCTATTCTTGGAAGAAGTATGGTTCTGAAAAGAACCGGTTGGTTGAGTGTAGAACTTGACGTTTTGGGCAGTGTGCTCTGCCCGTCCTGAGGAGCGATTACTTTCCACATGGTATTACCCCCAATCTTCCTACTTTGTAAGACGATGTTTCAGTATAGGTGAGTCCACTGCATGTTTAGTCGCAAGTAGCAGGATTAACAATGACACAGTAATGACACAGTAAAAAAAATGTATTTTTGTTACCACAGTAATGTAAATATCTTTTTTTTGACACAGTAATGTAAGTGTCATTTTTTTTTACCAATTTAAGAACTCCACTTGGAGAGGCACACCGCATTAGTGTACTGGTTCGCATGTGTACGGCACAAAGTACGCACTAACAATTTTGTTCTGAAACTGATTGTGTCTTCGCACGAAGATATGTGGGTAATTCCAATGCTACATGTCCACGACAGAGCTTTTATGAGCTCAATCAAAGACATTACATGTATTTTGTTTTCCCACATTGGATGTATTCATCACCTAGTAATTGTGAAGGAGATCACAGACTAGGAGTTTCGGATCACTTGTCTAGATCACTAATTAGATATCATGGTTAATTGGCTCCGTCACAGACATTACACCTTCCTTGTAGAATGCTGGAATTGCTCATATGCGTTTAAGTTTCTGTAGCATTGGTCTTCCCCAACTCTCTCGTTGTAACTGTTGAGGGGGTACTTGCGCACCACGTTTATATCACAGTTGATTTCAATAGCTTGTGACTTGAGAACGGATAACTTGTGGTGGACTCGACAGCATAGCAATCAGGAACGGGTCAAGACTCTGAACAAGGCACTTTCCACGTAGGAAAAAGTAATGTTTCAAGATGTTGCCGGCAGAAATACTCACAGTCTTTTTTTTTACCTTTGAAAATACCCGTGTGAATAGAACTCCTCGGACAGAAAGAACGGCGCGGATGAGCACTTGAAGAAAGACAGAGCCACGTAAGCAGCACCGAGAGGAACCAGCATCTTGAGTTTCTCAATAATGGGCCACGTGGTGGGAATAGAATGGGAGTTCTTACAGTGAAGCATGTCACTGTATGTCTTGTAGGTGTAGTATGGACCTGTCAAAATCCAACACAGGAAAACCACAAAAACATTCATACAGTGAAAAACTTATAGTTTTGCGGCATTAATAGACCCTAAAGGGCCCATACAATGTGATTTTTTTTGTGCAATCCTTGAAAATATGTCCCATTTGACCTTATTTTCAATTTTCATTTTGCCATTTTTAAGGATATTTTGGTGCCTTTTTGGTTTTTACGATAATGCAAATGTGTGATTTCCAGAAATTTTGATAATTTACTGTTGTAAATTTTGGCAGTAAGCCAATAAGCAAACTTTTCTCACAAATGTTTTCAATGAGCACATTTTTGGGATCACAATTGGAACAGAAAACCCCAAAACTGAACAGTGTCTTCCTGAAATGACATCACAGCAACAGGGCGGGCCCTCAGTTGTCCAGTAAAGCACAGCAAATTATAATTGTCTAAAAAGTGCATTTTTCAATATAATTAACTAAAACGGAATGTCAAAAAGTATAACAGACTCTTAAAAACATTTTTATCAATTTTGATGTTACACAAAATAGACTCAGTGCTTAAATACCCCCTAACTTTGACAGAGAAAGTTCATTTAGGTTTTGAACAAATACGGGATATGGTCAATAAATGTAGCATGTGAGGTGTGACCCAAATTTTCAGCCTCTGTATGGGTATTTCAGTTCTTGTGTTTTCGGGCCCTTATAATCACTGAAGGGTGAAAAGTCGTAAAGTCTGTAACGAGCAATGAATAAAGCCCATCAGGCTGGCATTTATCTCTGGTTTCCTTGGCATGAAACAACTGAGAATATTTCTATTCCCCCTGGATGGGATGCCAGTCCATCGCAGGTTACTCCCCAGCTAATGTCAGTACCCATTTACACTCCTGGGTGGAGAGAGGCAAGTGGGGGTGAAGTGGCTTGCCCATGGACACAACATATGACCAGCAGCTGGATTCGAACCCCTGATCCTCTGATCATGAGTCACAAACCCTAACCACTAGGCCACACACCCCCCTTACACTGAAGAGTGAAGTACCTGAAAACAGTCCAATATAGCAGTAGCTATAGTGACAGATATCAGCGATACTCGGTTCCTGAATGATAGCTTCGTAGCGAGGTTTTCCATTCTGCTGATTATGGTTGATACTTGCATCTCTAGCTCTTGCTTTGGCTGTGTAGGAATCCTTGATCTCAAACGAGATACCCACAAGCTGGAAACGATAAGATAAATTCTCATTGCACCAAATGTTGTTGAAAAGTTAATTGATAAATGTCAAATTAATGTTCTCAATGTTGTGCCATTGTATGACCTTTAGCTTTCTCTCAGGATGGGGAAGACTAACATGGCTAAAAGGTCCAGCCTACCAACATTTTATTGATGCAAACTCCAGTCCACATTGCCTGAAAAGTCTCTTTATTGGATTCCAAGATTCACAGATACTTTTCTAAAATTCTCACAAATTTTTTTCGGAAACTGTTTTTAACATTTTTAATAAACCCAAAAAGAAATAGTTGTAAATCAAAACCTGGAACCAAAGTAGCTTTTATTTTTGTTACCTCTCCTCTCTTAATTTAAATCCTAAATTCAAACCAACTATTCGTCAAGTTAAACATTAAGATGGTATGAAAATCACTGTTGAAATAAATGCTAACTCAACTCCACAAAAAGTCCTCATTATTCCATCACAAGTCAATCATAACTTATCTAAACTAAGCCAAATCACCGTACAGTACTCTTCAAATGAACTGCGACAAAATGTCACTGTTTTCCCCTTCCCCTTTAACTTGTGACTGGATTTGTGAATGGACTTGTGATTAACTTGTGGCCGTGAGACTTTTGATTACTGACGATGCACTTGTGAAGTTGTGATAGACTCGATTGTACCATGTTTGGGCATTGACGTACCCGTAGAGTCAGAAGCAACTGTACAACATTAGAGAAACCTGTTGGCACTGACAAACCAATCAGATAACCAAGCCTGAAGAGGAGAAGGTAGGTAAAGTTGAACGCAAAGCTCCATAGGTGACACTTCCTGTTGACAAAAACAATAAATACAAAGAATTACACCGAGGCTATCGTTACGGCAGTCGACCATCAGGTTCCCTGACAATATTCAACATTAGGATCTTTGGCTCTTGGAACCAGATACGGAGGTATCCAGTAAATTGGCCACATTTATGGGGCTAGGAGTAGGAACCAGACTACCAATGAAATGGTTCTCTGACCTTATTTCCATGAAAAAAACACCTCTGAATCCATGGATCACTACATGTTAATAATAAATGTAATTTGCTTCGATAAAAAGTAGGATTTGATTAAGAACATAAAGTAGGCCTATAGGACTGTTCCAAGTCCAACGTAAACCAGCTAACAAAACACTCTGGTTGGATGAGCAAAATGTGATTAGGCCTATTGTTGATGTACCCTAACGTGGCGCGGCCCCTAACGTGGCGCACTTTGATTTTTCGCCTGTAGCGCCTAGCTAGAGCAAAAGTTTTAACTGAAATTTCACAGAAAGTGAAATTTCATCAAGTTCTAAACACTCCCGTTCATAAATTGCGAGTTTATTTACCCGCTACAAAGTTAAAAGAAAAAATTATTTTGGCGTGATTTTCCGATTTTATTTTCAAGTGCAAAGTGGAACCTTTGAAAATGCCCCGAAAAATAAGAAAATAATTTTCTGACAAACATCTGGCTGGGTATGTAAGTAGAAATAATGATGATTTATCAGAATTAATCAAGTTTACAGAAATTCTTAAATGTTAATTTGGAATTTTCCGAGATTTATTTAAGTGCGCCACGTTAGGGAACACTCCGCCAATTTGTGCCCAATTTCCGGACGCCACCGTTTTTTAATTTCGGCTTAAATTTTATGAAACCGAAATTGTTCACGGAGGTTAAATAGCAAGCATTAATAAGGTAAAAGTACCAGTATTTTACTGCATGAATTTGAGGTTTGTCAACAAAGAGGTTTGGCAACACTACACGAGGAAAGTTGGGTAAGCTTCGAAGTGTGCCCGCCACGTTAGGGGTAATCCTTACTTTTAGGACCCCGTTCCTATATAGGAAGGGAAAGACTCACCAAAACAGTTGACTAAATGACACTCAAAATTGACATTCTGATACTTCTTGGCACATCTGAACAATTGGCAATGACACCTTCTTGACTTCTAAAGACTGCTTTAGCCTGCAAAAGTCACTTTGGTACTGGACAGACATCTGCAAAAGTCAGTTTTGAACAGAACTCGTAAAAAATAGAGGTGTCCTAAAAGTAAGGATTACCACGTTAGGGAACACGACTATATATACATGTAGTCTAGATTCGCAGTGGTGTTTTTGCAATTGATAGTGTTGTCCTTTTTATTTTTGATTGAATGTTAACCGTTTCAATGTAACAATTAATAACATTTCACAAATTAATTAGCGAGAAAGAATGTTGCAAGCTGAGTACGTCATGTACGTGATACGAAGGTCAGTCATTTTTATTGGCACTGTGCAAACATGTTGAAAAGACATAATTTGGGGGACTCTGTGAGAAACATTTTTAATTTTGTTGTAACGACGTTAGAAAATAACTTGAGAATGCACTCAACTCTCCACAGACTTTGTGCACAACCACAGAAGTATCGTCAGCATACAACATTCTTTCGGGGCTTTCTACCCTATCTCAGTATCTGACATGGCCGCGCCCACCTGTTGGCACCAATTCCTCGTATGATGGCTACCGTCACAGCTACCGATAAAACTGAATGGTACGTCTGCCAACCACACAGCCCGACCACCATCACAACACCCACACAGGTTGAGATCAACTGCTTCTGGATCGGACTCTTGACATATTTGATCACTTGTCCGAAACCAACCGAGGATAACAACACGAAAACGTAAATTATTTCTGTCGGTGACATCTTCTTAAAACGAACTTCACCAAAACTTTGCACGGCAAGTTCTGATTGGTATTGGTATCCGCCGCCGCAAAGTTATAAATCGGTTTACACAACGATTGAAGCGGCACCAGCGACACGGGGAAACTTTTCAGAACTTTCCCACTTGAGGGCGATATGACACAAACAGGTGCGCATTATTTTTTCCGCATTGGCCCAAAGTTAGATAGCAATTTGGCACACTTTATTATTATTATTATTATTTATTCGGCCAAATTACAAGGTACAACAAGCAATTCACAAAAGTATACAAAACTAAACAAAAACAATCCAATCCAAGCTGGCCAGGATTGACAAAAGTATAATAAAACACTGTGACTCGAAAGCCTGTCAATCCTAACTTGAATGGTACATGTAACATACAAAATATATTAAAAATTAGGTATAAAATTCAATGAAAAATAAGACCGCCTTAAAAATAATACTTAAAAAGATAAATAGATTTAAAAGATTACAGTTTTCTCAAGGCAAGAATAGCTGGCATAAAAACCTAACAACTGCAGATTATACAAGACTGGGGAAAAACAGACAAACAAGCCAAAACAAAACTAACAAACACCCCAACAAACTAAGAAACAAAACAAGACAGGATAAGACTAAACAAAATGTAACAAAACAAGTCAAGACAAGAGACAAGTCAAAGAGACAAGACAAGACAAGACAAAACGAAACAAAACAAGACAAGACAAAACAAAACAAAAAACAAACAAACAAACAAGACAAGACAAGACAACAACAACCACACAACAACATAAAAACACAGAACGAAAGATTGATACAGTAAACAAAATAATTTAAAATGAAATAAAAATAAATAATAATAATAAGCAATAAAAACCTGATAGAGAAAAGTAAAAAATACAGTTGACATGCGAGAAAAACTACGTCAAAAAAATATCCATCCAATGAACAAGAAAAGCAACAACAAAAGTATCAATAACAAAATAAATACAAGTAATAATAAATGATAAGCAACCGGAAAAATAGGCCTGAAAACCAACATTATTTCAGACATAAATAAATGAATAAATAAACAAACTTAACCACAAAAGAGGAAAATAATATAAAATAAAATAAAATAAAATAAAATAACAATGAAATAAAAGAATGATGGCAGTTTACAGTGGAAAAATATACACATGAAATTACTTTAAAAAGATTAAAGTAGATCAAAAGAGTTAAACACTTGGGGGGGGGGGCCTATTTCCAGCTCAAGGTTTTAACACTCATAATAATGGGCGGATAATCGGGTGTTAAACAGTGTGAATGAATCAATTAATAGAGAGTCCCTTACATGCGATGGCAAACTACTCCAGATTCGGGGGAAGACATGACTAGGTGTGTTTTTCAGGGTTTGAGTTCTAGCATAGTGGTGACTAAATGTGAGACAATCCTGGTGACGAGTGTTCACTACTGTGTTGGCCTTCACTGATTGGCAGTCAACTAAGTTAAACAGGACTTTAACTGTGAAGGAAACTATGTGCTTCTGTCTACGTGTATCTAGAGTCATCCAATTCAAAGCATGCAATCTGTCCTCATATGACATTGCACCTTTGGGCTGTTTGAGGCACATTCTACTTGCCCTTCTCTGCACTCTCTCAAGTTTGGCTGCATTGGATGCTGTGTATGGGGACCAAGCTGGCAACCCGTATTCCAGTACGGGCAAAACAAGTGAACGATAGAGGGATGTCAAGGCCTTGGTCGAAGCACCACCCGCAATATGCCAGATAAAGCCTAATGTCTTATTGGCCTTTGAGACAGTGGCATCGACGTGATCGTTCCAGTTCAGTGAATCGTTGATGATTACCCCAAGATATTTGAATGTAGGTGTAACATTGAGCGATTGTCCGTGAAGAATGTAACTTGGAAGAACTGCTGGTTTCCGGGATCTGGATATGTGCATGACCTTGGTTTTCTTGATATTCAGCTGCATACCATTGAGATTACTCCATTGTTCAAGTGCAGTCAGGTCCAACTGGAGGGCGAGTTCATCTTGGGGTGAGAGAATTGGCTGATAGAGGAGTGTATCATCCGCAAAGAGTGCACAGTTTCTGACTTATTACGAGGCGTTCTCAAATGTAGGGGGGGGGGGTAATCATCATAATAAACAGATCGATAAGTGGAAGCTGGAAGAAATTACCTTTTCTGACCACGTTTGTTACGAGTACGTTTTTGACATCATTCTAATATAGCTAGCCAATATATCTTCGCTATTAAAAGACAACTTGAAAATATCTATGAAAACAAACTCAATGACTTTCTTTAGGCCGTAGAGCTACAAAAGCGTTTTCACCCTATTCTGGGGGTGTTCTCCGAGGACTGAGTCACGGGCGGTCGGGGGATTACACGTGGAGATAGATAGCACTCTATCTTCAGTTGAGATAGCCTATCAAATTAAAGGTAGGCCTATACTCGGGATACCCGGATTATCATGGTATCACAACACAACGTGAACACTCTTTTAGAGAGGTTAATTTTGGTCGTGAAACAGCTAATTAGCAGGGCCAGATATTCTTCTGCCATCTGATCTCGGAAACGTAATGACTATTTTTTTTTTGGGGGGGGCAGTAGAATTGCTAAGCTTTATTATTACGGTAGGGTTTAATTGCTCAATCAAAATAAAGGCGAAGCATGAAATAAAATCGCGCTGCAAGGACATCGAGGATCGGGAGCAAAATTTCCAACATCACGACTTGCTGGCACTTTGCCAAAAAAATTAAACCGGACACGCGCACTACCCGCTTCACGTGGCATTCAGATCCAAATCACTGATCCAAATCCCGGTTTTCAGTGTGACGTCACAATGACGCGCGCGCAAACTTGGAACTTTATCGGCGACTTCTGTCGCGCCTTGGTAACATTATGTTAGTTTGTGTTTGTGTTTCGATCAGTGAACAGTGTTTTCGGAGAATATAGCGATTCAGGATGTACAACTACTCAAGTGCGTACGCAGCGGCCTTTTCAGAAAGTTACAAGTAAGTAAATTTTATTTAAAAATATAAAATTTGTACTTTCTTAAGTTTTTGGCAGACGTTTAGAGCGTGTAAATAGAGTAATGCGTCATACGCCATGTCCGCACATCCTTCAACAATGAAGGCATAATGCGTAGGCCTATTGAGCGCGACCCTTGTTTAGGCGTTCGAGCTTAATTTGCTTAGAAAAGATCCCGGAAAGTTCGTCAGTTTCACAATCTCATTGTCTTTAATTGATACATTTTTTTTAAGTATAGCCTATTGTAAAATAATACGATACGTTTAGTCCTCAAGGGGCCTATAATTTCTTTCATTTGAGGTGTTTTGTGTTTTCTATTAACTTTTGTATAGCACAATAAATTCAGTAAGATTATTTAACACCCATCAAGGCGCTGATCGAACTTTGAATGAGATATAGAGCAGAGTTTTGTCAGCATGTGCGTTTGCAAGAATGCTTCATGCATTCGCCCATTTCCCCCCAAATGATTGAGGACAATATTTTCATCTGATGGCAGCCAACAGGAACCAGACCAACACTGTTCTCCTGAAAATCCGGGAATGTGGAATGCAAACCCATCATTAATATAAGATGTCGCTTTTAACGTAAACAAAGTCGAACTCATAAAAAACCTGTCTGTCTGCTTCAATTAAATTCCAATAAGCTCAAACAAAGTTAATGAAAAAAAATAAGTTTTATGCATTGCAGTGAAAATTTAATTTTATTCCAAATCGCTCCAAAAACAAAGATGTATGAAACAAAATAACTGGAATGCATTGCAGTGAAAATATGTCTTCAAAGTAACACAAGGTGATTGCGACATTATTCAGTAGCGGATCTAGGGGGATTCGCAAGCCTCTTCAGCCGCTGAGTGTATTATGTTATGAAACTGGGCCCAGAATAATACATGGAATGCTAAAGTTCGTAAATATATTCTCAAATTGCCTTAGAACGCAGGAGAAAGCATCGTAGATAGAAGAAAAAAATCCCAGGACCAAGCCCCGGATGTCAGGACGTCCAAGGGCGGATCCAGAGTACATTTGTGTTTGGAGGGGGGCAAACAAAACAATGTTGTTCCTGCATAATTTTAATTACAAAAATTACGGCGTGGAGTTCGGGACCCCTTTAAGGGCCCGCATATTTTTTTCTTGGATTTAAGATGCCCTGTTTTGCGATCTGAGGAAATTTCTGACCACTTTTAACCAATTTCTTTTCGCAAAAGATGGTTGTTTACCCAGTGGCTGCTTTTTTTGCGACGTCACTTTCAGAAAAAAAAAATGGGTTCGTAATTTTCTTTTTTTGGGGGGGGGGGGGACCGTTAACCCCCCCCCCCCCGAATCCGCCGTCGAGACGCCCTAGCACGTGTACACTCCATCCCTCTACCTTCATATCAATCCTCCGTTTACTGAAAGCTATATAGACCCGGTCCTGTTATGTATAATATTGTTTTATTGATCATTCAGAAAGGCGTGTGACTCGGATCCCTCGACGGCAGACGGCGGGCAGCACTACGGCACCTACGGTCCCTACGGTTCTGCCACCGTCCGAGGCGGACGGTGTCCGCACTCGGCTCGTGACGGGAGCGGGCATCCACGGGGAGCTGACACCCACCCAAGATCACGGAATGCCGGTCAGCCCATGACTGGCTTCCAGCGGGTGTCCCCAAGTGGATATGTCCCTCGCCAGATTGATTCCGCTAAGGATGAGCGGAATCTCAAGCCACCTTTACAAGGCCCCCGAACTAGGTGAGTTTTTTTTTCAAATCAGCAGGCTAATTTAAAAAAGGGCAGCTAAAAAGAGAATAAACAAATAAAAATAAAATGACACCACTCCCCACCGTCCTTTCTCCTGCAATTAAAACAAAGATAAAGAAAAAAAACCCAGAGCACTTTGCAAAAAATTTCAAATCCAATTAAAATTAATTAATGAAACCTAAAAGTTAGAAATAGAATCATTATAAGAAATAATTCACCCAAAAATCATGTCAGCTGAAAATGCAAAATGAAGTCAACCTGAAAATGCGAAACATTTTCTCAAAGACTCATAATACTGCACCATTATTAGGCCTGTTATATGTCAATTCCTGACTTCCACAAAGCATACAGTTGTCCATTTATCTTGAACAAATAGATATTGGAGTGAAATTTTACACTTGTACTTCAATACTTTCTACCCATTAAAAAAATGTTTCCATTAAAGTAAAAGACAAATACCAGACGTTTTCTCATTATAACAGAATAGCCTATCTGCAACCAGGGACGCAGAAGAATCTCTAAGATATATATTTAAATCACAAAATACCTGAAATCCACCACGAGAATGTGTTGGACACGCAGTTTTGCAGCAAACAATTCCATTTTCATTTCCCCTCAACAGGAGGCGTTTCCCCCTTCGGAGTCTTTTTGAACGCAACAAGGTTCGACCTCTGAACATCGACGGTCCCTCGTTGGCATCAGAAGCACGCCCGCCCCGCCCCAGCGCCCCAGTTGACTCGGCCCACTCCTCCTTGTTCATTGCCTCATCGCAAATCTCTAACACCACCCAGAGATCAGGCAACTTGGACGGAGCCGGGCAGTCCCGTAAGCTGGCGAACATCAGCAGCGACAGGACGAGTTTGAGTCCCCCAGAAGACGACATTGGCAGGCCGCCATCTGTCGTCGTAGGACAGGCACTTGTCCCACCAAAATCAAGGTGAGTGCCATCATCGCTATGTGAGGGAATGTTCTATAGCAGAGAAAGAAGTAGGCCTATCCAAAGCATGGATTACAGCCCCGAACGGAGACTGTTATCGCCTACTATATTTGTATACTTCCAGTTCGTTGGCATAGAATTGGCACACTTTCGTCAAAAATGTCGGTCGTTTTTAAACAAAAGTGAACATAGGTCCCCGCAACCCATTTTATCTCCACAAGATTAGATATGGGTGTTGTCCAGGAGGAATTACGATCTATCTGAGGCACTGTGCCCTTGATTAACTCTCCCCCTCCTGTGTGTTTCCTGGAATTTTTTTCTGTTAGTCAGGTGGGCTGACTGTCTAGAATATGTCGGTGGGATGAAATTAGACCAGTCATTCAGTTAGTGAGGTGGTTGCTTGTTCGATAACCAGTCTCGTTAGCATCTTTCTTTTTCCTGGAAGTAGTTTCTTATTAGACTTGAAGCTCAATCAAGGGATAAACGAAACGGGAAAACAGATACAAACAAGTAGAATGGTCGTGGTTATATATGTCTTTTCGATATTAACAACCAACAGAAAGAGCACAGAATAGTGCAATCGAAGAATTACCTTGATGCATCCATTATACAAAATGGCCGCCACCTATATACGTTTCTTTCCGTAGGCCCAAGCGACCGTGGAAAACGAGACTTCTATCTCTCTTTGCTCCTCCGAGTCGCGGGACCAAGACCACCGTTCAGCCTTTCATTACACCACAAGGGCAATCGGAAGGTCAAGTGGGCCGACCTAGGTCACTGAAAGAAGACCACAGTGACCTAGGTCATGTCAATCGACCTAGATCACTGAAAAAAGACCACAGTGATCCAGGTGCCCAGAGCCACTACACCAGTGCTCTGATAAAGAATCGAGAAGCGAAGGGATTTGGAGGAAATGGTAATTATATCTATCTGACAACCTTCATTGCCGACACAATCATTCCTTAATTCATCTAGGACAGCTGCATAATTTGTAAATTCATTTCCTTGGACTTCTGACTTCCAAATAAAAACCCCTTGTGAGCATACATCACCCTGAATAATTCCAAAAAAAAATAATCACATTTTAACAAAGACAAGTGTTCCTTGTTACACATTCAGTTTGTTCTGCTAACAGAGTATTGTATTATTCTCACCAGCATCAACTGGAAAGATGCATCGTCGGCACGGCAGTGCTGCCATGGCAACAAGACCAGTCTACATCAACCAGCCCCTCTCGATCCCAGAAGCACCTCAATGTGACCGGGGTCATCTCCAGTCAAGCTCACCCCCTGCTCCGAGTAATGATAATCCCATCTCATCACAGCAGCAGGAGAAGGTTACGAGCATCATCGTCAATGACAATGACAGGTCACTCCCAGCTTTAACTCCTAGGGATGCTTCCTTTCGCAATTCCTCGGTGTGCGTCTTGCCTTCATATCCATCTGACTGGCAAGGAACAACGATGGAGGATAAGATAACATCAGACAAGGAAGTAGCAATCCCTAATCCAGATCCTCTGACGTCGATCTCAAGAGGAAATGGCAAACCTTCTGAAATCAGCTCAGCGTCGCAGTCATCCCCACTGCAAGACAGAGAAGATGAAAACGTGACACCCGATGACAACTCAGTGTCGCAGCCTGTCTTGCAGTGTTCACCTACCAACGGGAAGGATGCGTCCTGTGATTTCACGACGTGCTCTTCAGATCTTCAGGTTCAGGAACAAGAAGACGATGATGAAGTACAAAATGATATAGAATCCATCTTGAAGCCTGTATCTCTCTGCTCCGCCGCAACAGATGATGAATTTCCCACCAACTCCCTCATTTGTTCATCGCAGAGGCTACAGGCTGAAGTCGTTGAAGATGACGACAAAGCATTATATCTTGAAGGTTCTAATTTGAGACCAGGACCGACATCCCCTTCAGTAAATGATGCACCATCTTCACCAATAACACCAACCTCTTCTGCAACGTCATCACAGGATCATGACCAAATGTTGACGAATGAAAACAGAGACAGTGATGATAGGAAACCATCTACTTCAATCGAAGTCCCATTTGTAGCCGTACCCAGTCCATCTGCACTCTCCGAGAAGATGGAGGCCTTGGAGAGAAGTGTAGACGAAATATGCGATGATGAAGGATCACCATCAAAACAAGCATCTGCATCTTCAACATCAAGAAGTGGTTTCTCCATCTTAGGTCAAAGTTTTACAATCTCACAAGAGAAATTAGAGTCGGCAATCGTACAAGATGGAGACATGGCATCTGAGAATGAAAGGTCCATCTTGGTGTCGCAGCCTGCCTTGCAGTCTCCACTTACCAATGGGAATGATGCGTCCTGTGATTTCACGACTCGCCCTTCATATCTTCAGGTTCAGGATCAAGAAGACAATGATGAAGTACAAAATGATATAGAATCCATCTTGAAGCCTGTATCTCACTGCTCCTCCGCAACAGATGGTGAATCTCCCACCAATTCCATCATTTGTTCATCGCAGAGGCTACAGGCTGAAGTCGCTGAAGATGGCAACGGAGCATTAGATTCTGAAGGATCTAATTCAAGACCAGGACCGAAATCCCCTTCAAGAAATGAAACACCATCTTCACCAATAACACCAACCTCTTCTGCAACGTCATCACAGGATCATGACCAAATGTTGATGGATAAAAACAGAATCCGCGATGGTGAGAAACCATCTACTTCAATCGAAGTCCCTTTCTCTGCCGTAACCAGTCCATCTGCAATCTCCGAGAAGACGGAGGCCTTGGAGAGAAGTGTAGACGAAACATGCGATGATGAAGGATCACCATCAGAACAAGGATCTGCATCTCCAACATCAAGAAGTGGTCTCTCCATCTTACTCCAAAGTTCTACAATCTCACAAGACAAGCTAGAATCGGCAATCGTACAAGATGGAGATATGGCATCTGAGAATGAAAGGTCCATCTTGGAACCTTGCCCTCCCAATGAAACCGACGTCACTACCTCCATCCCCATGGAAACCTTATCTGTGATATCATCACCACCTCACAAGGAGGGGAGACAAGGTGGAGACCAAGGTGGTGGTTTGGAATTGATCTCAAAGTCTGTGTCTCCATCTCATCTCTCTGTCTCCTCCACGTCCAAATATTCCTCTTCGTCAAGGAAACTAGGAGCAGGGACGAATATTGACAATGATGATGGAAAAAGCTCCTTAGTGTCATCTATGAACGATGTAAGAATTGTTAGTTAGAAAACATATGATGTTCATGAATTTTCAAAAAAAAACAACTTACAATACGTCTACATGAAGTTCAGAATTTAAAAGAAGGTATTTCACGATATTTATTATTTTTTTATCGCTTGTTTCAATGCCAAGTATACTTGTAATAATTATTATCCTGACGAATATTTAGGAATATTGAAAGTATCACTGTTAATCCACAGCAGTCAGAGTCAACATCAAGTGCAGAAGCAAATGGAGCGCCATCTACGGTGGATGTTGACCCGGATGACGAAGAGCCAGTGTCAGGCAAAAACATACAAAAGTATAAAAGATTCCCACCTCTGCATGAACAGCGACTCGCTGTGAGTATGATACAAATTGTACATCACCATAATTTTAAACATCTTCAGAGATAAGTTTGACCGATTGAATCTTTTATAATGCTTAATTGATACCATATAAATCATACATTGTCTTTAAGGTACAGCTTATTATACTCGTGCATGTTAGAAAGCATCCGTTATAGTTTTAGGATTTTTTTATGCAGCTCAAGATGAACCCGGCAATTGCTCTGCAAAGCTCATCTCCAGATGACTTGGATCGTTGGGTGGATGTTGTGCTGAGTTGTGTTGCTCGCAGGGATAAGATGCGACAAATGCAACTTGCTTCCAACTCCAAGACACCTTACACAAGAGAGGAGGCTCTCGTGAGACATTACGAAATTTTACAATATCTACGAATTTAAGAAATGCCGGAGTCTGAGTTTATTTCAATAATGGTCGAAATAAGCTTTGGCATTATCTCAATTTTGAAACATCTTCATTTTTGTGTGTGTTTTTCTCCAGGAAATTCAAGCCAACGCCGCGAAAGCAAAAGACATAATGCGCCAATTGAACCAAATGACCTCCTTATCGACGGAGGATGAAGAGTCGAGCGTTGAGAGTTTGAGTTTGCAATTAGCCTCTCCAGTAAATTCTGCCAGGAAAACTTTAAATAACAGACAGGACAAAGAACTGCAGACTATAGAAGATGCCTTCGTGACGTTCGTATCTCCAATATATTCGGAATCTTCTTCATCCATAACTTCAAAGAAACATTCCGCCACAGCTTTGGAGAAACCCGGAGAAAGAACTAAAATAAGCGACTCGGATCAACAAGAGGCAACGCCAGCTGGACGTCCAGAGTCTTCCATTTCAAAGCTCTCTGAGATGATATCTGCAGAAAGTAAACCAAGGGATGTTGCCAACAGGGCATCCTCATGTGACAACCAACCTTACATCTCGAAGAAGTCACCTTCCAATGATTCATTAAGTAAAGCATCACAGGCTAAGAAGGACACCTCAAGTCCTCAAGAGGCCGCTTCTGAGAGAGATGCAGAATCTTCTTCATCCATTGCCAATAAAGCATCATCGGGAGAAAATCACCATTCGCCACGACCGAAAATCTCGACGAGTTCCGCTTGGAAAGATGCGGCAATATCTGACTCCACACCCGGCACAGCCAATGCTTCTTCTGAGAACTCCCAAGCAACGCAGGATCCTCAGGAAGGACTACCAGAACTCACAGCCTATCCCTCAATCGATCCCAGCGAGTTGGAGTTCATTATGTCTGACAACGGAAAGGAAGTGGCACTTGGGTCGGGTTCTTGTGGTGGAGTCCTACTGATGCGTAATATAGAAGACAACACTCCCCTTGCTGTCAAGGTGCTGGTTAAAAACTTCTCTGACTTACAGTACGAGGTGGCAGCCATGCATGCGGTGATGAACTGCCCCTACTTCCCCAGATTTGTAGGAGTCATCGATTACTGTTCTTACGCCCAAGAGCTTGTGGGCGGTGTGGACAGTAACATGGCTTTCAACTTCAGCAAGGCGCGGAACGACTACGATCTCTTATACGCGTTAGAGTGGCTGCACGTCTGCCGTGATGTCACGGAGGGACTCAAGGCTTTACACGCTGCTGGCTGGCTTCATAACGACCTACACTGGAATAATGCCATGGTGTGTCCCAATCCACCAGGCTCTGAGGTGGCTTGGTGTGGCAAGATCATCGACCTGGGACTCGCCTCGCAGATATCAAATCCAGGCCCAGTCGCGATCCTGGATGACGAGGAACAGAGGAGGGTCTATAAATATAGCAAACATGTACGAACAAAACCTAGACAATTAAAACCATGTATGTGCCGTTATCTTTCAATTTTAATCCATATTTTTGTTTTTGATCTGTGTTCCCTTTTGCATCTTTTGTGCTTTCTCTCCCCTTGCCCAACGTTTAAAAATGATGAGATTAAAATGTTCTTTACTCAATTATAAAACAAAAATTGATAATTTTGTAAGGATGACAAAGTCCAGCTTAACCAAATAAACATGAAGTGACGGAGAACAATGAATTATTACAGTCTGCGTAGGCTAAAGTAATTTTACTCTCTCATCAAACATTCATTTCCAGTGTGCGCCCGAGATTCTGGAAAGCAGAGACGCTTACAATGAGAAGACTGACATCTACAGCCTTGGCCATCTCTTCGTGCATTCTGTAGCCGGTGGTGCAAACTCCCTCCACGGTCTCCGTCTGCTAGGCGAGTCCTGCATGAGACGAAGTCCCGATGCTCGCCCAACACTTGAGGCCGTCTCGGGGAAACTAGGCGATCTCATCACGGAGATGATGCAGGCTGAGCAGCAGCAGCCTTCCAGCCCGACTCCCATTCCTCCTTCCTCAACCTCTCCTTCTCCTAATCTCCGTTGCCATCTCATCGCGGAGATGATGCAGGCTGAGGAGAAGCCTTCCAGCTCGACTCCTATTCCTCCTCTCTCCTCCTCTCCTCCTCCTAATCTTCGTTGCCATCTCATCGCGGAGATGATGAAGGTTGAGCAGCAGCCTTCCAGCCCGTCTCCTATTCCTACTTCTTCACCCTCTCCTTCTAATCTTCGTCGCCATCTTTGTTAGTTTATGAAATCCAGAATCGCACAGAAAGAGATCGGCCGCATTCAAATCGGATGTTTTTGACTACGATTACAAAGCAGTATTATGATTAGTGGAAAGCTGGGAGCATGCAAACCGTAGTGTCGTAGTCTAAAACAACCGATTCGAATGCGGCCGTTTAGGGCCATGTCACGCGACGCAATTCACGGCAAATTGTTCCACGCAAGACAGTAATCATTGCATTCCCTTTAATAGTCTGAGGTATCTCCATAAATTGTTAGTCAGTTAATGTTCTCCACTCCTCCCAGAGTTTGCTTTGTCTTACTGTGCATTTAGTTACCTCTTAATTGCCGATGAGAATTGCTTTGTTTGACTTGGCCCTTACAGACCAGAGAACTTTATCATGGTGGAGCCATTTTGTCTAGTTTCCAGAAGCATGACATTGAGAAATCACTGAGGCCACTTGAGTACAAGTAGTCACCAGACAGTGATTGTTGTTCTGCAATTCTCAGTTTGGTCATTCGGTTCAGTTGTAACATCCTTTGGTAACATTGAAAAACAAAATTGAAAACAATCTGCTCATTGAACCGATCAGCAAAAATACTACCAACGTTTACTTTTTCTGTGCGATTTTTGACAACTTATTATTCCATTAACAGGTAACAAAGATGGCTTTAATAAAAAAACAAATAATGGTCTAAAAAGAAGTGGCCTAAAAAGCTTGAAAGCAAATAATCAATTTAAGATTTGCTTTACGAGTACTTGTGTTATTATGCATAATTTTATTTGCATCAAAGATTGTTGAAAACAAAGAGGCATTTAACTTGATCTTAAAAGCGTTTGCAAACAAAAAGTTTACTTTGATTCTAAGTTCCTTTTTCACGTCCATGGGTGAGCAAGAAAATGATAACAGAATTCTAAACATCAAATCGAAAGAATCCATAAAATTAAACACAAACAAATATTTTTCACTCAATCACAACAGTCCTGAATCGTTCGATTTTCGTATGATTTTTCGCACATCGTATAGGGGCAAGGGTTAAGACCAGCACTCCGTGTGTTCAAGTGTTAGTTTTTGTAGGTGTCCCAACAACCTCGTTAACTTAGCGTTCGAGCTCCAATACGAGGTTGAATTTGACATCCACAATGACGTCACGTTTCTCTTGTCCGGAGTTCTGGTCTTAATTCCAGCCCAAACATGACATGCACTAATTTTTCTTCCTTCTATTTCATTAACTTGAAATATTTCCTAATTCTTTTTACTCTTTTAACTTGGAAAACCAAAGATCAATTATGTATTATTGATGAGCGCAAGTACCTTGATTTTACAGTTTGAATTGTAGTAACATCAGTTATTTTATTTCGCAACCTGTTGCCTCATGTATATATGTAGGTAGGCAGTGTGAAGACAAATCATGAAAATACTGTTATTTTTATTCAACACAACTTTGAAACCTCAACTTAACTTTGATTCAGGTCTGTTTGAATGTACGTGTACACATGCTTCTTCCAATGCAGCATATGTGCTTTTGTTTTATCATAGAATTAAGGTGTTTGTCATTACTATCAGAAATTTACTGTTGCCTAGATATCGGTCCTGCCGGGATATTTATTACATTCTTTTATGACATCATGGAGCTGTAAAACGCTGATACCTAGCACAGAATGAAACGATACTCTGACATCAAGCTGGTTTATGCTGTTAATGAAAAATTAGAATTGACAATGAATGACAAATAAATCATGCCAGAACGAAAAATCGTGTCGTCTCGTCTTTTTTTTCCAGTCGTGAAGTTTACTACAAAAAATATTACTTCCATTTCCTTCCACCAAAACCACACTTAAATGCAAATGAGGGGGGGGGGGGGTCTTAAAATATGTTTACAGTGCGACGTTGAAACTTTGAAAAGGTCGTCACCTCTGAAAAAAGAGGGATCATAATAAATTATCAACATGTCTGCGTTGTATATCAATAATACCTTATAAAGGTACTTCATTTTAAATTTGATGAAATGCTTGAAATGCATGTCTATAAATAAATTAAGTGGTAAACTCTTTAAAAATATAAATCTGCAAAAATAATTTCATAAACCTAATTTTATTTTACAATTATGGCCTACATCTCACAGATGATATAAGAGGACAGTCTACAAACAAGCTTCATATTTGCATTGGAAGATATAAACCCTATACGTTTAGGTGGAGTCAGAGGGCAATGGTTTTGTAACGTATAGTTCATGCTTGGATAGGCACGATCGATCCTATTGCGAATCCATTGTTACACATCAAAACAAAGAACAGCCTCCAAGTTACCTGCAACGCATAAAGCATTTAAATATAAACGTTTCTTAACATTTTTAGGTCTTGGTTTGGTAATGGATGGTTGGAAAACCGAATTATTATCACGCCCCATGATTTCTTTATTACCAAGGCCAGTACGGTTTTGTCAACTCGGGATCATTACATAATCCTATTTCTTCACGCGCGACGACACGGGGCCTAACTCAATGATAATCGGTATATTTGTCGAAGGACTTAAACGTTCTTTTGTGTTAGTCAGGAAACCCCCGCCTCGTATTCTATTCTCATTGTGAGAGGTCGTGTCCCCTGATTGTTACGCTGTTTGCCTTCAGTTGTGAGTCACGTCGACAAGATCTGTTAAAAGGCTGCACGTTCAATCATAGAGCAAGGAACATCAGTTCTGCGAATGTAAAGATGTCAAATCTGCATTAGTATTTTCGGTCGATCGCGAAGACTTCAGTTAGCAGTGTGTTCTTATAGGAACTGCCACTGTAAAGGTGCCATTTTGTGACATATTTTGCTCGGAGATCATACACAAGGAGTCTGCCTGCCTGTATATGATATTGCTATCTGTCCATACGGTGGATCAGCGAACACGAGATATATGAACGTTTCTTGTGTGGAGGATGCCCCCGTGTCAGCTGTCCATATCAAGGTGAGAACAGTAACTGAATCCTCATGTAATTATCCTGCATTTGGATACATGTATACAGTAGGGACAATGTACGTACATGTATTGTTTTACAGGGGCGTAGCACGGTCATTTTTATGGGGGGTATTTTTTTTTTGAAAAGGGCACTTGCACATCCGTTGTGAATTCCAGGTTTTTTTTCTCCGGACACTTGGCCTACGTCAAATCAAAAAGCGGGGTGAGGGGTGGGGTCGAGGGGGGGGGGCTGGTACCATCTGTCGATGGGGCGCTGTTCAAAACCGACAATAATGCACACAAAGGGGCAATATATGGTGCTTTTCAGAGCGATACATGTGCGAAATTCTGAAAAGGCACCCAAAACTGCAGATGCCACAAAAAAGGGCACCACTTCGTTTTGGGGAAATGGCACTTGTTCAGAAAAAGGGCACTTCGTAAAAAAAGGGCACTCTTTACAAATTATTGGGGGAGGGGGGTTAAGCCCGTTAAAAAAAGGGTATTTGAATGGAAAAAGGAAAAGGGCAGTCTTTACAAAATATTGGGGGGGGGGGGGGGTAAATACCCCCCCCCCCCTTGCTACGCCTATGTTTTAAGGGGAGGCTACGTTCAAAATTATAATGTTACATTTTATACAGCCGCCTTAAGGCTTAAGTGCAGAAAAACATGCAAACGAAGTCAGACCAATTTTACTCACACTTTATAGTAGTCCGAAAATGTGGTACTCTCAATACTCTGTATGAGACTTTATAGCTGACGAAATTAGGCAAAGACAAGGTCCTCAGTATTTCACCAGCCAAGTTTGAGGTCTCAGTCCAATTTTTATTAAAGGCTTTTCTTTATCATTCTGCATCTGAGAATGAAGCCAGGTTATTTCAATATGAAGCCCAATTAAGACTAGAACTGGTAAATGTCTAACTTTTTGAAAAGATTGACCCTTAAGTAGTCTGGTGGCATGACATCGTGACTGTGGGGAGAATGTGTAGAAATAGAGACGAGGTGCCAGATGTTTGTTTTGACGCAGTGGATTGATGCAGTATAGTAATGTGTTTTTGACTGGTTGTTTTTTCATGTGTCAGTCTCTTTCTTATACTGCACTTAAGTTTTGGAACTCCCATAGTACACAGTATTGAGAGTCCAACTTTTGTTGGACTACACATCATATTGACACGTGCATTATGTTACTCTGTATCACTGGGCGTAAATTCCTTATTGTTTGACTAGTTAAGTTTAGTTAAGACGTGTATTATCGATTCTCTTCGCTCAGTTCGCTGCATCAATGCGAAGTGCACACTCACGGTGTTTCACACTATAGAGGACAATACTGGTCCCCTATTCCCAAAGGCCCCAATTTGACGATGTGTACAAAGCGTTTGGGAGGTCTTCCTAAAAAGTTAAGAGTACAAACAAAAGAGGGACAATAGGGGGTCCCCAATTGCAGGCTAATACACAAGTCTTGTATGGATGTACGTGTTATGTTTGCGTACTTGACCTACCTGGATTTTATTGGGTCAAATGCCCAACCTCAAACCTCTATTGCCCCATGCGTCAACAATGTTGAAAATAAGAAAAATCTGTAAGTACCATAAGTTTCTTGAGTCATTGGTTAATTGAAAAATTTAACAGGTTAATCATGATTAATCAATACACCATTAAAGGTACCGTAAAGTAAGTAGAAAAAAAGACAGATAGACAAACACCGAAAAGTTATAAAAAAAATAATTTTTCCACATAATTCATGGAACCGTATAAACACACATTGTTTTGCCCGGCCTTATGGACATATCCTCAAAGTAGCAGGAGCGTTTCCCTATTAAAACAGCTTACTGCGATAGGCCTAGTGTATACGTATCTGGCATGTCTAATTTGTCTGAGCAGTCAAGATGAATTAGAGCTCAGTGTGATGAGTGAAAGATTAGAATAGGTTGCCACGCGTGATTGAAGAGCTGATTTCCTTTTCATACGAGAATGTGACAAGGGGGAAATTAAAACGTGATTGATGTTGTCGAAGTAAAGATTAGATCTGAAGATTATTTTCTTGATTGAATTCGCCCAACTTTGATGTTGAAAACGTGTGTTTGAATATGTTATCTTTCGAGCCCAAATATGTCAAAACGACGGGAAATGTTCATAAGGCCACCATTTGTGGT